TTGGCCATTTTGAGACAAGAAGTATAAAACAGATTGTACAATCCAGATTGCAGTTTGCACACATTGCAACAATCTATACATTGCAGCATTGCTAAGATTGTTAAGATTGTTGGTCATTCTGAGGGGAGAAGTATAAAACAGATTGCACAATCTATATTGCAGATTGCACACTTTGCAATAATCTGCACATTGCAACATTGCTAAGATTGTGAAGATTGTTGTCCATTCTGAGAGAAGTATAAAACAGATTGTACAATCCAGATTGCAGTTTGCACACATTGCAACAATGTGCACATTGCAACATTGCTAACATTGTTAAGATTATTGGTCATTCTGAAAGGAGAAGTATAAAACAGATTGCACAATCCAGATTGCAGATTGCACACATTGCAACAATCTGCACATTGCAACATTGCTAACATTGTTAAGATTGTTGACCATTCTGAGAGAAGTATAAAACATATTGCACAATCCAGATTGCAGAGTGCACACATTGCAACAATCTGCACATTGCAACATTGCTAAGATTGTTGAGATTGTTGGCCATTCTGAGAGAAGTATAAAACAGATTGCACAATCAAGATTGCAGATGGCACACATTGCAACAATCTGCACATTGCAACATTGCTAACATTGTTAAGATTGTTGGCCATTCTGAGAGAAGTATAAAACAGATTGTACAATCCAGATTTCAGATTGCACACATTGCAACAATCTGCACATTGTAACATTGAGAGAGAAGTATAGAACAGATTGCAGATTGTCAACAATCTTACAGAAAAAATGCAATGTGTAAGTGATTTAACAATAACATAGGAGTCAATGGAGAAGCAGATTGTTTTCAGTTTGCTAGAGGTACCATATTGGCCATAGCTAGAATATTAAAATCAATAAATAACACAACTGGAAGGGCCGACGAAAAATATATTGATTGGGGAGGAAAGAAATAAGATAGAACAGCCATACATGTTCCAATTTGAAAAAGAGGCCGCTACAACAACAAGTATTTGATCAGAAAAAAGAAGTGTAATATTTTCAAGATTCTAATGGGATTGACAAACATTTCCAGGGATTCAGCTCATTAAAAGGTAAGACGAGAATATATTTAAGTGCAACTTTCACTAAACTGGAACGCTTATAAGTCGTAACCAAGGAAAACATGACCCATTCATGAACTTCCGGTTTGAAAAAACTTATTTTTTGTTATGTTCACTGTTTTAGCAACACCGTATGAGTTCTATGTTTTCTGAATATTGATTGCAATAATACCAAATCTCCCTATTTTGGAATAAAATATGTACAGATTACACATTTAGAACTTGTTAGATCATGTAGATCATGCACATTTTGTAAGCTTAGAAAAATTTTGGACATTTTGGGAGTGGCATATATATCATATTGATCTGTTGATAGCCTACCTTACACAGTCACTGAGTCAGAGGTCTTGAAAGTAATTTCAGAAATAAAAAGTATGGATTATTTGGAAATTTAAAGTTACACATCTGCGTGATGATTATAAACATTTTTCACTTACTCATGCCATAGATCCCGGCCAGATTCTTTTGTAGTAGGATCAGTAGCTCAATAATATTTCCTCAAGATGAGACACCTCAAAAAATTTCAAATTTTAAAATGACGATTCTGGAGCTATTTCTGAAAAATATGAGACAAATCATACCTCATTCGAAGGGTATTGTTATTCTTTACCTTTTTTATCACCAATGGCCGTTATTCAAGCAATACTGCGTTGATAAGAGGCCAAAACAGTGATCTTTTATCGCCGGACTCTTGTCTGTCCAAATCTGAATGTTGCTCCCGTGGTTCCAGAAATGTGACGTCATCATTACAATGATATTTGGACACACAATTTAGTGTCGTATCTTCTGTATTATTCTTTGAGCCTATGATCCTACTACAAAACGATCTGGCCAATATCTGTGACTCATGCAAAGATACAGTACAGTTCTAAGAAAGAAAATACCCCAATCTCACAATCAACCCCACCCCCTTGACAATTGCTGGCTATGTCGTTGATTGTTTTTCTCTTAATCAATTACCCCCTCCCCTTGACAATTGCTGGCTATGTCGTTGATTGTTGTTTTGCTCTTAATCAATTACCCCCTCCCCTTGACAATTGCTGGCTATGCCCCTGATTGTTTTTCTCTAAAATCAATTACTGAAAATAATCTGTTAAAAACACATCCTGTATGTACACAGGCTGGTATCGAAATATTTGTCCGCTGTGACGGAGCGTGCTATTTTGCATAGATACACTAAGAAACCCGAACAATTTATTTTTTTACTCATATGTTTCGCTTTACCAAAGAAAGTTTCTTACTTCATGCAATGGGTATATCATTTGCGGGTAACTTTAACTTTTGTTTCAAGTCCAACAACGCTAAGAGTAAAAGCTATTGAAAACGGCGCCGGGGTATCATACTCCAAAATGTACAATATAGTGACACGATAATATTTACATATGTTTTCAGCATAACTCTGAAGGTATTAATGATATCTTGATGTATTGGGTATTTTTAATATTTTTTATAAAAAATAATCTTTACATTTTTTGTCAGCTGAAACGGAGTAGTTTTAACTGTGAACTACGTTAAGAATTTAAGATTCAAATTATACCTTTTAAAAGTACCCTTAGAAGAGAGAACGTCACAAATCACTTTCCTAAATTATTACAAGTATCCTCTGGGAGATCTGGGGTAATGTAAATCTGAGATATAAAAACGACCACTCTTAGCATTTTTCGGAGGTTTGTACTGAAATCAACATGAATCAACATGGTGTAAACTCAACATAATATTTCTAATACGTTTTCGCCAAGACGTCTTGGAATGTCATGTGTACAGTAAATAGGGCTAATATGAATTTATTCGAAATAGCGAACAGACATCCTGCATTCCGACAGATGTATAACATTTTACCACATAATATTACTGTATATAAGTTACCATAAAAAATGACCATGTCAGGTGATGGATCCACAGTAGGCACAACGAAAGGCAAATACCCTATACTGAAGTAAAGTTGACTATCATTTTCATGAGTTACCATGCATAACTTGGATTACAGTACAAACTGAGAAAAGAAGCTTAAAGAGTGGTCGTATATCCATCTCAGAATTTGAATTGTGTACTTTTATTCCGTTTTATTGTTCAGAATACTTTACGAAAGAGATTTAACACGCTCCCTCCTCTATAACGTGTAGTTATAAAGAGATATATCATAAATCTAAATTCTTAACATATTTCAGATTTGAAACTGCTCCGTCACAGCGGACAAAGAATTTAAATATTATTTTTTATAAAAAAAATAAAAAATACCCAATACATAAAGATCTCATTAATACCTTCAGAGTTATGCTGAAAACATATGTAAATGTTATCGTGTCGCTATATTGTACCATTAAAAAGAAATAAAAGAAATGGTACATTTTGGAGTATGATACTCCGACGCCCTTTGCGTTGTTGGACTTCAAACAGAAGTTAAAGTTACCCGCAAATGATATATTCATTGCATGGAGTCAGTAATTTTCTTTGATATAGCAAAACATATGAGTAAAAAAATTAATTGTGTGGATTTGCTAGTGTTTCTATGCAAAATAGCACGCTCCGTCACAGCGGACAATTTTTTCGATACCATGTGATGTAATGGTCACAGATTGACAAGAATTTGTGAAAATTATTTATCATTTATATCTGATATAATTTGTTTATTTTTAGCAATTCTTGAGAAGGAAATTAAATATCTATCGAAACCTTGTTGGTAACAAAATGGCATTATGGATTCAGGACTGAAGTTGTCTTATGTTTATGTCATTAGGACTGTAGACTCTATTTACTAAGATTTGGAATAATGTAGAATTGATGACATGTTGATGGAAAAAGGGGGCCCAGAAGTTTAATTTCTGAAGTGCATTGGATGAAAATTCCAAACTGAACAAATTAAAACAGGAGCTAGATTAGTGTATCTACAGTATACACAGTGTACTTTTAAGGCTCTCAATATCGTCACTCAGCTGACAAAGGAAAGTTTTGTTCATTTAAGAAATACCCCAAAAAAGATAATTTTATAGTATACCTTTGATTTCATTTATATAACAATTCTTTTAAATGAATCAAACTTTCTTTTGTATAATTACAATTTTGAGAGACCCAACTACATTGTTATTATGTCATTTTGTTCTAACGAAGTTCGGATAGATGTTTCATTTCATTCCAAATATATGGTACCAAGAACAAAAGAACAATTTGTGTTTTCTAAAACAATATTTAAAAAAGTAAATCAACATTTTCAAATTAAATTGTCACAATTCAAAAGATAATCATTATATTGTGGACAAACATAACAGCAAAGCTTACTGACATTTTCATTCTCATCACATCTTAATATAAATTATTTCAAAAGAAACATTTCAGTGCTTGTGAGATCATTGCACATCTTTGTATATTCAAAACCAACCAACAATCAAAAACAACATTAGAAATGAAGAATTTCCAAAACAATGGACCTTATTCATTAAATTCATCTGTCCTAATCCATTTGAATATATTTCTGGATCAAGCCAAGAGATGTAGAAATAAACAAATCTAAAAAACAAACAATACTAGGAACATCACATGATTTCATAATAAATTACAATCTTACTCTGACTCAAACATATCTTCTTCCCTTATTCTAGAGCTGCATAGAAACCATAATATAGTAGAGATTTACATGAACATCAGTTGTATTATTAAAAACAGATTGTCTGATTTCAGAAAAAAGATGGCACAACCAGGTATGGCTCCACCCGGGGCTCCCATGATGCAACAGCCAGGAGGTGCGTTAAGAATTTTTTTTTTTTTTAATTAAATAAACATTGATTTGTTCACAACAGTACATCTTGACCACTTTGTCACTTGCTTGTTCACCACATTACAACTGGCTAGTTCACCACAATACAAATTAATTGTTCATTATATTAAAAAGTGTTTGCACCACATTATTACAACTTACTTGTTAACCACATTGTGAATTGCTTGTTCCTCACTTTTGATCATTCTTCACATTATAACTTCCTTGTTCCCCACATTACAAGTTGCTTGTTCTCCACATTACAACTTGTTTGTTCTCCACATTAAAATTTGCTTGTTCTCCACATTACAGCTTGCTTGTTCTCCACATTACAACTTCCTTGTTCCCCACTTTACAAGTTGCTTGTTCTACACATTACAACTTGTTTGTTCTCCTTACAGCTAGCTTGTTTCCCAAGATTACAAGTTGCGTGTTCTCCAAAATGTTTGTATATAATACATTTTAAAGAATTAATTTCAATAACCATTTTCCATGTATTTCCAGGGAGACAACCTGCCCAGTGGATGCAGGCCCCCCAGGCACCACCTAACTGTCCCCCAGGCCTGGAGTATCTAGCCATGATAGACCAGCTACTGGTCCATCAACAGGTTGAATTGTTAGAAGGTATGAACTCAAATCAAATGTTTACAATCTTATCATTCTACTGTACTCTTAAAAAACAATCCTGTTCCACCAACTAAAAACAGGGATTTATTTGCATTCCCGCATTTCCTCCTACCAAGGAGGATTGGCTCCCAGAGTGCACCACCGATATTCTGTCCCATATATGGAAATGTCGTGACACAAAATTTGAATTCAAACGGCCGCCATTTTGTTCACTTCAAGATTTGAATCGTGAATTTTGGTCTTACATCTTAACGAAAAATTCCAAAACTCACAAGAAATGATCGAAATATTGGTATGAATCTTCTGGACTGTTTATTTTGAATTTATAGTCGCTTATAATTTCAGAAAATAACGACATTACAACGTTTTCATTGTTGGAAAATATCGATGTTCGACCCTGGGAGCCAATCCTCCTTGTCCTCCTACTTTGCTTGTGGAAGCTGATTGAATGTATTGTACATATTACTATTTAATATATACAAAGTTCGATCCATATATTCTGATAAAAATGCTCTCATTTTGTTATTTTTTTCATATATCCCTTTCATTAGTTATATCTTAGATTTATTTTGAGATAAGGTTGCCATGGTAACCTGTATTCAGGGTAGGCAGGTCAGTTAAACCATAACATATAAATGGATAACTTTGTATTTGGAATCAGTGGAACACCTCGCATTTTCTTACACAGGTTCTACTTGATCTTCTCTGTCCGCAAGGTCAATTTGCAACTAGATCATCATCAGGATAAACCATGACATCTCATTTCTTCTCAGCCCTGAGATGTTTCAGGTGAAACGGAAAGGTGCTATGAGTATCTTCAACATTGTCTTCAACTGCCTTCCTCAAATTTACTACCTATAGATTCCTGAAGCAGATATAGCAACTTGCTATGTATGTCTCCCTTTACCTTTTCTTGATAGTACCAAGGGCTTTCAATCTATTGAATGCCCATGATAGTACATACAATTTATTGGTACTCCTAACCTTTCTGTTAATGTCACACTCTGAATCCTCACCTCATCTGACATTTTGTTTTTCTGGTTTGTCTCATGATATGTTATGTAAATTGATATATTCTGTCATACATTGCTCTTTTGAGCTCAATTGTGATGTTATAGTATGCACAAATAAGCATTTTTAGAGCAACAAACAACAAGCAATAATAGCAAACTTTTTTTGAAAAATGTATGATTTCCACATTAAAATGACAAATAATTATGGTATTTTACTGGCTATAATTAAACTGAACTGCCAACTCTTTTGTATTTATTGTATTTTATATTTTGTATTTATTGTATTTGTATGTCATTGTTTGCTCTTTAACATTTACAGTTCACCATCTTTATACATGTAAGAGTAAATAAATTGTAATTTATTTTCAGCTTTCACCGGGTTTGAGACAAATAACAAATATGAGATCAAGAACTCTATGGGCCAGAGAGTATATTTTGCAGCTGAAGGTTAGTTTTTAATTGCTTTCAATATAACAGTTAACAATTAACAGTGATCTACCAGCATTGAAGCAAGTGGGCGCACAGCACACTTTAAGATTTTGATTAAAGGCTTGCACCCACCTGCAGCTGAGAATCCATTTACACCCATTTAGATATGAAAAATATCATGAAAATGAGTATATTTTGACCAAATTGGAATTGCCACCTACTTGAAAAAAAATCCTGGAGAGAACACTATAAAAAAAGGAACTTCTCAATTAATGGGCTTAAGTAAGCTACATGTATGAAGCGGGCAAAGGCAACTAAATTTTAAAGAAAAAAATATTTTTAAGACCAGAAAAAGGACTGAAACTACGGTCATAACATCCTACTAGGCTTAAATTTTGCTTTGCATATTTTTTAAGTTTATGAATTCTAGATCTGCTCCTGTAATATTCCAATGTTTGCCCATTAAAGTTACTCCTCCAATTTCAAGTAATTGAAAATATTGGTTTTTATGTTAGTTAGAGTCAATATTTGCTTTAAACAAATTCAGGTTTAACATTCTCTGTAAATGAAGGTAATATGTCACTTTTACATTGTCACTTACATTAACCCTTCCCTTGGCAGGGTTTGAATTCATTGTAAAATTTTGAAATTGCGACTTCTTTTACGTCATTATGTGATTGACTGATCCAGCTGATAATAAGACTTTCCATAGATAACAATAATAATATCCTTCATCTTTTATCATTCAATCCACAGATACAAACTGCTGTACAAGAAACTGTTGTGGAAAGGAAAGGCCGTTTGAAATCCAGATAATGGACAATGCTGGTAGAGAGGTGATTCACTTGAGTTCCCCCCTGAGGTGTGACACTTGCTGGTTTCCTTGCTGTTTAAAGGTAGGTGGGTCATCTAGGGGTGATGTTAGCTAATTGTAACAGCCTAACAGTAATGCAAAAAATCATGACAAAATGTGAAAATATCAGTGTGGTGTATGAATAAAAAATGAATGATGCTTAATAATATAAAATTACATTTTGCATGAAATTACAAATTTTCGAACAAAAGTTTTGTATTCTTTTTTCTTTTTAGAAATCAAAATGTCATGCCAAGTTGTAAGTATGTTTTAAATTAATCAATTATCCATATTTTTCCAGAAAGTTGAGGTATCTGCCCCAGCAGGCCAAGTTGTAGGTTATGTCCAGCAAGCTTGGAGTATATTGAAACCAAAGTACAAGATCCAGAATGCTGCAGGAGACACTGTGTTAATAATTGATGGGCCTTGCTGTACATGTAATATATGTGGAGATGTAGAATTTCAGGTAAGACTTATATCTCATTTGAGTCAAGTTTGATCTATGGCAACCACATGGTGGCTGTAACTTCCCAAAATAGAGAGAAATTAATACAGTATAGAATATAGGGCTAAGTAGTATAATGTCGATTTTCTATATCAATTTTCTGCAGCTACTGCCATCGTAGAGCAAATGTGACTGAGGCTTCAAGTTTCCAATATTACAGTTATGATATCAACACCTTAATGATTTAGAATTAAGTGATTTTTTGGTGTGTGTGTACATGTAGCTTAGCCATAGCACTACTGCATCATCTAGTACATAAAGAAGAAACTGAGCTACAGTGAAACCTGTCTAATCCGAACGCCATTGGGACCGGCTAAATGTGTTCAGATTAGGAGGTGTTCACATTTCAAGGTTTTGCATTCGCAATATTCCAGATTCTGAAGAAATGTGAACACATTCTCGGTAAATTTTTATAGTTCTTTTGACCACATAGCTTTAGGGCATTTCAGAAATTTGGAAATTTGATTCAAATAAATCCTGTCATGCTGGAAAGCCCCATTATGATTGAGACCATTCAAGATTTTTTTTCCCAAAGTTTTGATATCATATCAATATTTGAGCAATTTTGTATGAAACATCAGAAAATTCATGAAAAGTGTTCAGATTAGACAGGTGAATTTTTCAAATATGACTGATCATTGTTTAAATATGGGAGGTGTTCACATTTCAAGGTTTTTTAACATGAAAGTCAATGGGAGGAAAAAATGGGACCAAAAAAGTGTTCATATTGGGAGGTGTTCAAATTAGCCAGGTGTTCGGATATACAGGTTCTACTGTATTTCAAATGTTTATTTTTCATTAGGTAGAATGAAGAATTGTTTTCAGTATTGCCAACCTAATATACTTTGTTTTGAGAACTCCTAATGCATCTTATGATTTTACACTTTTTATTCTTTTGTAAATTTTATGAGAGAAACATTGATGCTGGTACATTATGCTTAAAGGAAACATCTAAAATCTTGAATTATTTTAGGTTTACTCCTCTGATGGGGAGACCCCTGTTGGTCAAATCAGGAAACAATGGACAGGCCTTGTAAAAGAAATGTTTACAGACGCTGACAACTTTGGTATAACATTCCCTCAGGACCTTGATGTTAATGTTAAAGCGACATTACTAGGAGCTGTTTTCCTAATTGTAAGTTCATATTTTCATTTTCTTGTTATTCAGTCTTATAATTTAAAGTTTCCCTTGTATAGATTTGATATTGCAACTGGATATGGAACCACAAACACAATCAAACTATTAAACTAATATCAGCAGCTTCTTGAAATCATTTTTGTTTTTAACAATTGATTAATACCTTAGATATGGGAAATACCATGATTATCACTCCAGAATTTCTGTTCAAATATGAAACCACAATGTTTTTAGGAAACTTCTTTACCAAATTACCAAATCTACAAAGGGCAATATATAAATATTGATGATTATTTTCTGAATTCTAGGACTTTATGTTCTTTGAAAAGGAGAAAAACAAAGAGGAAGATCAGATAGGCATGATGTCATAGCCTGTAAGACCATATAAGGATATGTGATACAATGCGTCACTCTGGTTAAAACTTTACACTTCTTATTTGGCTTTTGTTTGGTCATCATTTGTTTTTTAACTTCTTAATTTTCAGCCTAAACTCTTAAGGGATTTTATCTTTTTTATGAAAAGTCCTGGGGGCATTCGGGGCAATCACTGGTAAATGCCCCTGTCAATTTCGCAGAGTACAAAAGATTACTAGGCTGCACTTGAGTTTAAAAATATACTGTTAAGAAAGTTACACATGGAACTATTTGGCCTTCCTCATGAAGTTGATTGATTTATTGGTTTATTTGTTGGTGAAATGAATTAAGAAGTTGATCAGTTTGACCATTGTGACATTTTGTTTACATAAATATGTTGTGTCACACATGCATGCATGCATATTCACATAAATATATTGTGTCACAGATGCATGTAGATTTTCCAAACTTTGGTTTTATAGCATTTGTATTCTTTTCAGTTCATTATTTTGAAATGGACGTACAAATAACTTTTATCCATTTCTAATTTTTTTTAGGATTTTATGTTTTTTGAAAAAGAACAAAATGAGGAAACGCATACAGTAGGCATGATGTAGTGTAAGGGCTAAGCGCAGGTTGGCATGTAAGGGTTGAAATAATGGACGACTTCTTTTTTAACAGACTTGTTTTGTGAATTAACCAACTTTCACATTTGAATTGTTTGCAGTTTGTTTTTGTTTGCAGTTCATTTAGAACTGATATATTTAACAAATAACATTAATATTTTCTTCTTTGTAACATCTTTCTTTTTAGGATTTTATGTTCTTTGAAAAGGAAAAAAATGAGGAAAGCACTTCTATTGGAATGATGTAAACCTGGGAATTGTTAGGGTTATAGGCACATGTTGGCATGTAAGGGTTAAAATGAGAAATGAGGTGTTTCTTTAGTAACTGTTAGAGTTCAGTAATGCAAACAATATATAGTCATGTCCAGAAATGTTTTTGAATCTTTTTTTAGGGTCTTCTGATCAAACAAGTTTCTAACTTTTGATTGAGGATTGTTTGAAATTGATTTTGTATACATTTTTGGAAAGATATCAGACTCCACCTGAGTTGTCTGATGACAGTAAAAGTTCTAAAATCAGTAGATTCAGATTTCAAAATCAGATCATGATTTAAGTATTATTTGTTTGCATCACAGAACCACATACAGTTTAGCATTAGCAAACCTCAGTAGACCAGACATTAGACCATGATATCACATTTGGCTCATACTAATACTTGGTGCTACTGTTTTTGTTTGTTTTTAACATGCACTATATGTTTCACGAATAGATTTCTGTTCTCCTAAACATGTTCTTTAGTTTGGTTATTAATGGTTATTTAATCACAAAATCAATTTTCTTCTAGAAGAAAACTGTTTTTGAGATTTCTTTACTGTAGTTTTAGGGCTGAAATGAATACTACATTCTCATACCAAGTATTTGGCCAGTTAATCCCAATTCATTATACAGATGGAAATGACTGTTCGATTGAATTGTTTAGTTTTTTTGGTGTCCTTATCAGAAATCGCGGATAAAATTGTGAGTGGTCACTGCATGGACTGTATAATTCAAATGTCTTTTTTGCTATTGCTTAAAATTTGTTTTCTCCAGAGAATTTCACTTCATTTCATCCCAAACAGTGGTTTTGCATAAACTCTACGATTTTTGGGACTATTTATTGATGCACAGAATTTTGTGAATTTGATGTAGTTTTATTTATATTTTTGAAATAGCACAGTGTTGTCCACAATGTTTGAGTTACTCTCTTGTATTCTCTAGTCTGAGTACATATATAGGTTTGTTCTTGAGGTTTGGTTGAGTTTTTAATTTTTTTCTTCTAGTTACTCTTGTGTTTAATTTTTGTAGGATGTTATGTTTTTCGAAAAAGAGAAAAATAAAGATGACCATCAAGTAACAATGTTGTAGAAAGTGTAATTCTCAAGTAAAACTATTTTAGGGGGATGGTTTCACTTTTCGGTTTGCTTTTGGTGAAAGTTTCAACATCATTATGCATCATACCATAAATAAATTTTACCATATTTTCTTGTAATCTTGTATTCTGTATCATATATTGGAGACTTTGAGGTGTAAGGTGTAACCAGGATAAAAAATTTATGTGAGGCAAATGTTGATTTAGGCGAGGAATATTGAGGTATATTACCTGGACTTTGTTCCCACAGTCTTATTTGAAGGAATGTCTAAATAAAAGTATTTCTGTGAAATTTTGGTGCAGGCAGCCTGGCTATGCACATGCTGTTTAGTTATCTCAATATTTGCCTTTGGTTATTTGTGTTCTTGTCCTTGTTATCCTAATAGGTCCTCTCATCTGATTTCTCGCTTCTTGCCTTATGCCCATATATGGTATCTGCTGTATTATGCCATATAGGTATTTCATTTTTGCAAACCTTCCAATCATAAAAATGTGTGGCAGTGAGAATTAATGATTTTTCATTATATTTTTGATAATCTGTCTTCTCTGTGTGATATCTATCTATTAAAAATTACAATGTTTTATATTATGTTTGCAGTGCACTTTACTTTGTATGCTTTTCTCGACATTTCCAGCTTGGAGCTGTAGAAATCATTTTTTCTTTACAGAGTGGGCCAAGAATTATGACATCATATATTCACAATTCAAATGATACATACTCACAACGCCCATATGAAAAGGGGAGGACTTCGCTAACATATCAGGGAATCTTGAGACACACATTTTTTGCGATATTTCAGAGCTTTTTCAACATGTCAAAATTCATTGGCCCACTCTGTATACATATATATTCTAAGCTAGACTTCAAACTAGATTAGGAGGTGATGTGTGGCACTTTCTTATTGGGATTACTGTAGTAGGACACTTCGTTTGATGATAACTGTAAATCTAGAACACTTTGTGTACTTTTCATGTTTTCACTAATTTTCATAAATGTATACCATGGCAACATGAAATGGTCATACAAACAGCTTATCTTCTAGATTTACAGTATTTTCACCAATGAGTTTACTCATAAGCACATAAATGTATTTGTCAATTTAACAATTTGTGTTCTCACAAAGGATTTATACTCGTGAACAGTGTGGTGCTATAAATCTCTATATAGGTTTGGAATGGTACAGATAGTGAAGAAGTCTTCTAGATCTCAACATGGACTTTCAACTAAGCCCATGATCTTAATTAATATTAATTTCTAAACTTTTCAAAAATATTTATTTTATTCTTGGTTTCACGTCTGGAGGATAAGTGTTACATGAAGAATAATTTAGAGTATTGATGTCCTTTAGAGAAACACCACTACTTGCTACACCACTACTTGCTACAATGTATTTATGTAGTACTACAATGTACTAATCTAGTGCTATACAATGTACTTTAGTACTTACCTAATGCTACAATGTATTTATACAGCACTACAATGTCACAATTTGACAATGTGATATGGGAGGAATATGATGATTTGAGGATAGAATAAACTGATAAAGATATTTTTGTTACTTGGATGTTATTTCAAACAGTTCTAAAACTGTCAGTTTTAAAATCATCATGTTTTTTCCTCATCATCCACTGTAGAGGTTTTGCTTTTTTCTATCTCTGCTATTCTTTCTTTCTATCCAGGACTTTATGTTTTTCGAGAAAGAACAAAATAAAGAAGAAATCAAAGTAGGAATGACATGATATAAGGTATGATGAAACAAATCAACACAATCCTTTGCTAAATACAGTTTCATGGCCATAAAAGTCAGTATACATCTTTACTTAATACAGTTTCATGGCCATAAAAGTCAGTATACATCTTTACTTAATACAGTTTCATGGCCATAAAAGTCAGTATACATCTTTTCTAAATACAGTTTCATGGCCATAGAAGTCAGTATACATCTTTTCTAAATACAGTTTCATGGCCATAGAAGTCAGTATACATCTTTACTTAATACAGTTTCATGCGGCCATAAAAGTCAGTATACCTCTTTACTAAATACAGTTTCATGGCCATAGAAGTCAGTATACCTCTTTACTTAATACAGTTTCATGGCCATAAAAGTTGGTATACATCTTTACTTAATACAGTTTCATGGCCATAGAAGTCAGTATACATCTTTACTGAATACAGTTTCATGGCCATAAAAGTCGAGTACACCTCTTTACTTAATACAGTTTCATGGCCATAGAAGTCAGTATACATCTTTACTGAATACAGTTTCATGGCCATAAAAGTCAGTACACCTCTTTACTTAATACAGTTTCATGGCCATAGAAGTCAGTATACATCTTTACTAAATACAGTTTCATGGCCATAAAAGTCAGAATATTCTTTACTAATTACAGTTTCATGGCCATAAAAGTCAGTATACATCTTTACTAAATGCAGTCTGATGGCCATAAAAGTCAGTATACATCTTTACTGAATACAGTTTCATGGCCATAAAAGTCAGTATACATCTTTACTGAATACAGTTTCATGGCCATAAAAGTCAGTATACATCTTTACTGAATACAGTTTAATGGCCATAGAAGTCAGTATACATCTTTACTTAATTAACAGTTTCATGCGGCCATAAAAGTCAGTATACATATTTACTTAATACAGTTTCATGCGGCCATAAAAGTCAGTATACGTCTTTACTTAATACAGTTTCATGCGGCCATAAAAGTCAGTATACATCTTTACTTAATACAGTTTCATGCGGCCATAAAAGTCAGTATACATATTTACTTAATACAGTTTCATGCGGCCATAAAAGTCAGTATACATATTTACTTAATACAGTTTCATGCAGCCATAAAAGTCAGTCTACGTATTTACTAAATACAGTTCCATCTTTACTAAATACAATTTGACTACCATAGGGTATTGGATTCCAAGCCATCACCAGGAAGGGTTGTTGGAGGGGACTGCACTACAGTCCTCTTGAAAGAATTCCTGGAAAATATGTAAAATGTGTTTTTTTCGTAAACAACAATCTGGAACTTTTAAAAAATGCTAAGAATTGCACTAAACAGTGTCCAAATAAGTCCAAATATGGTCTGCTCCTGAATGGGTTGATGCTGTTTGGGAAATTATGGTAACCATATTTACTTTTATTAGGCTTCAATACTTCATTAGATATGACCCCTCATATCACTAAAGCAAGAGAAGTGTGTTTTTCATTCTATTTCTTATAATTTACAATTATTTTGTGTGTAACTATGCCTCCTTGATAGTGCATCATAGCTAGCATTTTTCTCATTTGTTGCATCATTAAATTAATGTTCTCATTAGTAACCCTGGTGTTTATAACCTCATGTTTTGTAAACATCTTGTAAAAATCCATGTAATAATTTGAAAAATAAATGAGTGTTTTATCTTGAACTTTTGAATTAATTTAGTGTGAATTATTTTGATTATGTAGTATTTCAAAAATGTATGTATTGATAATTAAAAGCAATGATAACTTGAAAATATCTCTCAGCCTGTCATGTGAATTTAACATATCAAGTATGTATTTATTTATTTCCAGGTTTGCGTACATAGTAACAATACCTGTCTACAACTACAATACCACCTCTATGACCAGGGCAGTATATGGACAGTGACATATATGGACTTTGTATATACTTATAAATAAGAGTGAATGTGGACATCCTTATTGGGTTAGACTTATTCACATTATGTGCAATGCACAGGATTTTTACAATAATTGAAATTTATTTAGACCAAACATAATTTCTGAACATTTGTTTTTATAAGTTGAAGATGATATTATAACAGCCTGATAGGTCATAATCGTGATATGAATATTATCACACTATATATTTGTATATGGTGTAATATTTTCCATTATCACACCTTAAACTAGAATGCCCAGTTTTGATTGGTCCAATGACTAAAGTGTTCATATTCATAATCCATTATTATATCAACCATAAGATATTGTCATCTAAACCAGATATTAACCAGAAAATGATATTTCATAATTTTTTAAAGGTGTGGTCTTCTTGTAAACGTGTATTGTGTACTAGCAATTTTTGTAAGCACTTCCAACACAAGATTATAAAAACTTCCAACTGTGATAATCGATGCATATTGTCCCCTTTGAAAAACAATTCACCTCACAAGTGAGCCTATATTTAAGGTACATTTTGTAGTTCCACACTCAGAAAAAAAATTGAATATTTTAACAAAATGTTTTTTGCACTATGCAATCTCGCATGATGTGTCGATATCAACATGCAAGTTTGAAAAATATTAATCATTTCATTGAATATTGTTGGTAATTATTATGAAAATAACATGAAAATACTCATTATGCAAAACTACCTTAACAATGTTCTACATATTTGGTAAGTTCAGATCAGAGGATTATGTTGACACAGGTGCCTTTCTTATTGAAATCAATACTGAGTGTCTTGCACAGTTACTTGGATTAGAAATGCTAATAAACTACATTTTCTCATTATATTAACTAGTTTATCACATTTGATATGTTTAACTTATATTCGGATAAATATTTTTATAACCCTGCCATATTGCCCGACTGTGTAGTGTTGAACTTCCATTTTTTATTTGAATTCAGTAACTGTAGAAAACCTTTACTTTGATTGTTTAATTGTCAGAGATTGAACTCTGGGTTGTATATAGTGTATACAGCTGTAACTATTAAAAAATGCTTTTAAAAGGTTGTGTGGTACTTTTGAGCTAGTGTTTTAAGCTATAATGTACATTTAGTTGTGTATATACATTATATAGCTAATACTGTACACTTATCTCACATTATATACAGGATACAATCAATGTGTACTTGGTCTGTTTATAACTTAGTTAAATCTTAGGGATCTTGTACTTTGTAGAAAGTATTCAAGACTTGATATTTTATTTAAATTGTTTAGACCGTAAACTTATTTGTCTTGTACTTTTTGGCTTTGTAACGAGCTTGGTTTAGGAACATATTGCAATTATTTGAGAGGAAAAGTGAGGAATATTGGTCCCATTAAAAATATTCTGCTTAAGGGTATACAAATATATATGTGTATGTTAGGTCCACAGTGAGAATATGAGATCTTATGTTATTACTATTGAACTAAGCTACTTGACTGATATTATTGGAGATATTTTGGCTATTTTCTTAGTATTTTAAAAACAGATTTTGACTGTTGAGTGCCAATTTGGCTAAACTTTCTTAAATTTAATTTCCTATGCCCTAAAATGATCTTGAATGTAACTGACTTTTAAGATGTTTCTCGTTTAGGAAACAGTGAGACTTTTGTTGTCGAGAATTGAGATCGTATTATGCCATAATAGCCACATTGACTTCATGTACTTCAACTTAATTTGGCGAATCTGCCAAATTGTTCAAATCCACCAAATTAAGAAGCCGCCAAATTCAAGGTAATTTTAGTACCACGTAGATTAGTACCATTAGTGCATTGTAATATTGCAAGTCCACCAATATAAGTAGCCGCCAAATGTTCAAAACTGCAAATCTGCCAAAATAAGCAGCGCCAAATTAAGTAGAAGTACAGTATATTGTGCCTGAATGGGTTTCCTTGTTTACTGCGGATTTCATATTATATTAATACCAGCATTTACAGTCGTTGAAACAATCCATTTATGACTTTATTTGTACATCAAATAATGTATTATTTTTATATTATATATTATTATACCATGATATTACATATATGTATATATAATTATGATATACATTTAATATTTGCATTTTGTTTTGGTTGGCATCTATCTGTAACAAGTTGTTATATTTTACATTTTTATAACCATATGTAATAACTTAAACCAAGTGATGACATAATATACTGTGTTTAAGATTCATATTAGTCTTGTATAAAACCCACCTGTTTTGTTATCTCAAACGTCACAATCTTTGGTTAACTTAACTCATTTAATAACCATCTTTGCCAATCTCTATTTGATTCAAACAAATGTGAAAGCAGTGGATATACAGAGTGTCCATTAACTCTGTACACTTTACAGACTTTGTATTGGTATTGTAGAATCTTTACGGACACCCGGTATATTCATGCAATACATCAAATGTATATTTTCTCATAAAATGTTGCACAATGGTAGTTTTAGTTTATCAAGAAAGTGTGTTAGTGTTCTTGTATGCACAGCTTAACCTATAGTGAGTTCTATGAGAGTTTTTTGTTGGGTGTAAATAAATTGTCGCATTAGCCAAAAAAACAATGACCATTTAACTAGTCTAGTCTGTCTCTTTATAGAAATAAATTCTAATTCTAAATAAACATTATTTGCTGTCTGTTTAATATGTACATCATGTACCATCTTTATTGTGAGTGCTTATTGTACTATATAGGAACAACCTCGGGATTTTTCCAAGGGCTCAGTGCATCTACATAAAAAATGAATAACAGACTCTATCATCATAGCATTCACTTGAAGCCTTAGCTTCTCCACTTTTGCCAGAGCACATAGTTCCAAGTTTTTTCTTCTGAGTCTCATATAGAACATTGAACAAAACATCTAAGAAAAGTCAACTCCACTCAAAAAGGGATGTGCCCCCTTGGTAAATCTTGCCTATGCTTCTGTAGAACCATCAGAGTTGAAACAAGAGATAATAAGAAGGATGATTAGAGCCATTACATAAGATATCTGCAGTCCCATAGCCAGGATTTCCCAAGGGGGATTCACTATTAAAAAATCCAGGGGGTTCACTTTGGACAACTTTGACCCGAAGTGCTCAGAATGGTGAAAAACTGCATGATTTTGAACAAATTTTTGGTTCACTCAAACCCCCCTGGGCCACCGGCCTGCATCTGTGAGATATGTAGCCAGAACTACTTCACCTGGTGCTTTCAAATTAGCCTACAGAGAAGAGACGAGTATTTTGAGGATGTTTTGTAAAATAACAATAAAACCGTGGTCATTTGAAATTGACCAATGAAGGAACATTGAATAAGGGCCATTCTTTTTTATTATAATATTTCACAATTTTGTTAAAAAATTTGTATATTGATTATTTGATGAAGGGAATGACTCTGAATTTTAATGCAGAGAAGGTATTTTTCTAATGTTGTAAAAGGAATCATAATCGCCAATACTCTTCATTGAGACTGACATTGATATCAAATGAATGGTCCCTAAAAAGTTTACAAGATTTTACAAGATTTACTAGATTTACAGTCTACCTACTAAGACATGTTCCTCTTTAAACTTCAACTTGCAATGAACTGAGTTATTTCATCAAAGAAAGAACAAAATAAGAATTTAAATTTTTAAAACAATACATAATTTACATGAATTTATTTTACAAATATACAAGTCCACTGTACAATGTGTAACTAAATGAACTATTGTCATTGATATCACAAAGATGGGTGAAGAAACCTTTTAATCAATTCTTCACAAATAAATAATAATTAACCCATTTAAAGGGCTCAAAGTTCAAACCTGTAACTAATGCACTATCAATAGACTTCATATCAGACCTTTCTTTCTTCAAACATTTGAGTTCAAAGCTCCTCATATAAAGCAAAAGTAGGAAAGCTAGCTATATTAGCTAGCTAGGTGCAAATTGCAGACTGTAAATGAAATTTAAAAATGTGGGTATTTTAGAAACAGAGTCCTTTTCAAGATCTTTTTTACATTAAGATTAGCACCTAATTTTTAAGTTTGCATGTTTAAGCTTACTAATTTATGATTATTTAGGACAACAGACACTGATATGATAAATATCAGTGCCATTATATGGAATATTTTCTGACTTGCTCAATAGTCCATATTGAAATATTTATAGGATATCCTATGATTTTGAGGAATATCATTTTTATCTACAAGGTGATATTGATATCTGCACGAGAGAGCCAAGCGAACGAGTACATATATCAATATCACCGAGTAGATTAGAATGATATTCTGAAAAAATCATAGGATGTTCTTATTATCCTACACTTATTACATTAGGAGTGTACAAATGTATAATATCATTGCAAAATGAATTTCATGATCAATATCACCGAGTAGATTAGAATGATATTCTGAAAAAATCATAGGATGTTCTTATTATCCTACACTTATTACATTAGGAGTGTACAAATGTATAATATCATTGCAAAATGAATTTCATGCAGGAAATAAACAAGCGGAGTATATCGTCACAATATCCTCCGCATATTGGGTTTTCCGGAGTATATCGCCACGATATCCTCCACCTGGAGTATATCATCACGATATCCTCCGGTTATTCATTTTGCCAATAAATATCAAATTTATTTTTTGATGTTATTATACATTTAGTACACTAAGTGTAGGATAATTTGAAATTATGATCTGCTTAAAATTCCATTTTGCTGTTCAGGAAGAATAACCTATACTATATAAACATGACGTATGCTATCTCAAGGCCATAGTTCTCCTATTTTGCTTAATGTCTTAGCCGTTGTGTTCTCATCAATGGAACAGCCATTCTTGTAGAAGGTGACACCAAATATCCACTGCATCACTTTTTTCCTTAATAGTGTCTCATTTTTAGAACATTAATTCCCCACCAAATGTCATCTGCTTTGAAGGTCAAGGTCACCATACTATTTTCCTATTCGCTGGACCACCCACTCTTGTTGACACAAGGGACATCTATTGTTCTGCTTCACCCAGAGTGACATACAACAATTGTGGAAGGAATGATTGCACTCGCCCCAAACAACTGAAAGTATATTAGAGATCACCTATGTTAATACTTTAACTGTGCTATTTTCATGCATACTATAGCAATATATGCATACTTACAATAACATTATATTGGTTCCGAAAACGTACATCGGCAATTAGGTTTTTTATCATGTTTGACACAGAAATAAAATTTTACTAAACTTAATTAAATGTTAAAATACATCAGTCTGTAAGTGGTTAGTAGAACATTAACATCACTGTAAGTGGAACACATCTCAACTGGAACACTTTTTAAATGTACCAAATGTGAGCCATTTACACAGGTTTTACTGACAGGGCACATGTACTAACACAAAGTGCATAATTATGGACTAAAACAAAGTACTAACCTACACAGTCCTCTTGCTTGTTCTCATTCTGGCAACGTAAACAAGCATCTGAAAAAAACAATAGCATAGTCTCATATAACAAAGTAGTCTCATATAACACAGTAGCATAGTCTCATATCAGTGTACATTTGTATTGCAGATGAAGGACCCACGGTCCTGTGCTCACACAGTTTGGAACCTTCAGAGAAATGTATATCCGGACTTTCAAACAAAAATATTGATTTGGATTTGTAGTCTCGATTCTCGAACTTTGAGAAACTTAGATAGCACAGTTGAGTGATCTAGTTTGATGACCTTTGACCTTGAAAATTTTACTTAGAGCTCAGTAAGGTCTTTTGTGATTAAGCTGACCAAAATTTACATCCAAAAATCAATTTGAAAAATCAACGTTTTTGACCTTTCGAAGGTCACTGAAGGTCAAGTAAAGGTCAAATCCTAAAAGTGATGTCAGATTTGGACTCCTGGCAACTTGTAGATGATTTTCAAAAAAAAATTTGGTCAAATTGAAGCAAGTTGAAAAATAACTTATTTTTACTGTTTTTTGACGTCAAATATCTCAAAAACAGAAAAATTTGATGCTGACATATATTGAGCAATATGTAGGGAATGCTTAAATCTCGTAATAATGTAATTCATTGCAAGAAATGATCGAGTATAAGGCAAACTTTGAGAAATTTGTCAATCACAAAACCTGCCATTGACTTTATACATGAGAAAGTTTCCTGAAAATGACAGTCCTACTTTTTGTCAAATTTTATCGAGTAAACACCAAAAACTGTAATTCCAAGAGCTTTGAAATTTTCAGAGGACATAAGTTGCATATACAACAACTACTAAAAGTTATTTAAAAGTTCTTCTTCAACAAAGTGTCTAGTATTTACAGAAAATTTGACTTTTTGACCTCAAAATCAGCTATTTCTCGGAAATCCGGGCGAACTTGGGAAATGGCGATGATAGGTCAAATAGGCATTATGGATATGCATAAAATGAATGTGGTTATGACTCAATCCGAATAGCAGTTTTAATTTGTGCGGCCAATGTACACGGACGGATGGACCAACGGACGGACCAACGGACGGACGCCTGGTCGATCCCATAGGCTCACTTTGTGAGCCAAATATAGCATTGAATTAATTGTACGCATTAACTACAAGGAGGATTGGAAGCCAGGGTTCCAACTCGATATTCTTTAATCTCCACGCATGCGTCATTTGCTATTCGTGTCTGTATAATTTGTACGACTGCATGGAGAATGACCCGATACTCTCCAACAAAGCTATCGCTAGGTGATTGTTTTGCAGAATATCGGTGTTGCATTCTGGGAGCCAATCCTCCTTGCATTAACTACACATTTTTTCCTTTAAAATGTGCAGTTGGGTTGAACAAGAAGAAGTTCAATCAAATGTACATGTACATATAAAACTTTATGAACTTGAAACATAAACAAAAAACAGATTTTGAAAATCACAAGTGCATTGTTGACTTATGTATCTAAAAAAAATAGACAAAGAAAAGGAGCAAGGAGGATTGGCTCCCAGAGTGCAGCAGCATCGATATTCTGTCCCATGGCGCATGTCGTAATGCAAAATTTGAATTCAAACAGCCGCCATTTTGTTCACTTCAACATTTGAATTGTAAATTTTGATCTTGTAATGAAAAATTCTATAACTCACAAGATTGAAACCCCATGGTTATAATTTCAGAAAATAACCATAGGAGACAGGTTACCTGAAAAGGAAGATAGATATCATTATCTCTTATCTAAACAAGGACTGTCACTGAGGCAAGTCTACCCTGGCTGAAATCAGGTACTTCATGAACTTTGTAAAGTGGGTTGGGGGCTTAATACTTAATGCTTAATTAATAATGATTACCTACCTAATTTCTTAATAAATATCATAACATATTTCCTGTACGCTAGGTGCATTTACACTCCCTGTCAACATCACATGGTCAATATTTAAATTATTATGAACATGTGACAAATTGGAAGCATGTATTTTTAGTGAAATATTTTCATACTTAGGATGTTTCTGTGAAGTACAGGTAAGATTTTAATTAATCATTTTCTAAACTAACATATATTGCTGCATAAACATACACATTTGCTGTTAGTCAAATGAGGGACAACTTTTCCAAGAAGAAGAAGAAGGGTTTGTGAACAGAAGGTGAAGAATGGATTTGTTTTTTTTCCTCACGCGATTGATGTACAGTTGAACTTTGATATTCTAAGGGTATAATTGATGAATTTCTACTTAATCAAGCATCTTTATGGGAAAAACTCACATGTAGAAGGATGGACAGATCTGTTTTCTACAAAATCAGCATTGAATGACGGCTTGACATGCAGTAATTGTTATTTCAGAGCTGATTTCAGCCAGGGTAGACTTGCCTCAGTGACAGTCCTTGTTTAGATAAGAGATAATGATATCTATCTTCCTTTTCAGGTAACCTGTCTCCTATGAAAATAACGACATTTTGACGTTTTCATTGTTGGAAAATATCGAGTTTCGATCCTGGGAGCCAATCCTCCTTGAATATCCATTGGTATTCTCTTGAGACTCCATGTAATACCATATATGGTCATAGATATGCAATATGACTCATGCAGATTGGATCAGTGATGAAATACAAACAAAAGTGCAGTGAAGGGAAAATCAAAAAATGAAAACAAAAGAATTTGACTTCCAAAATTCTGAAAATTTGTACACTCACCCATGACCTGAACTCGGCAAATTGCACAAGTATCACACTCTACATCCCAACTCCACATAGCAACCGCATTCCACTTCTTCAAAGTGAACATTCTCGCTCCTTTATCTCCCTGTTCAGTTTCCATTTCTTCAGTGGCCATTTTCTCCAAAAGTTATGCGGTGTAATCTCTATGACCTTGCAATAATATACTATAATATGGAATTAAACAAAAATACAAAGTCAAAAAATATTCTAACTAACACTGGTACTAATCTAAATGAGGGAAGCATTGTTTGTGAAGATTTTTCAATATATCAGATCTTATACAAAAATTATCTATATAAAAGTCGTGTTTGTTGGGTGTTACTAAATACCACCTAGGTGTCCCCTTGGGCACCTGGATTTCTAATTTCATTTTAAACCACGTACACATTTTAAATATAGCATTATTTCCTTTGTCATATTAACTTGACATTTAATAGGCTTGAAATAATAATTTGTAGTCGAGAATATTGCAAAGAAGATTTGAAAATAAAATGTTCAAAGTTTTATTGTTAAAAAATTGGGCACCTGGAATTTTGCTCATTTGTTTGTCACTTATTTGTAGTAATAAAACACTGTTTATGCTAAAGTGTGCGATTTGAAATATATACATTGGTCTTACTTTAGTTGCTAAAATAGTGAATTTGTAGCATTTTATAGTGAGCAAATTATGAAATATTATCCTAACAAATGACTTTTCATCGTCGATCAAAATTTTTTAAGAAATTAAAAATATCATAACCAAACAGAAATATTTACACAAGCTCCATGAAAATACTTTATTTTGTACCTTATTAACACTTGGGAAAATGTTAGTTTAAAATAAAGGAATAAAATATGCCAATAAGGCATTTCAATGGGGACACCTAGGTGTGGGGCACCTAGGTGGTATTTAGTACAACCCGTGTTTGTTTAAGTCACGTGACACAACATTGAGGAAGACGGAAGTAAAAATGCACATTTAATTTTCCAATTTTGAAGTGGATTTTTTGCCAATAGTCACGACTAACAAACAATCACGCTATAACAGTGCCTAGAGCTATACACTGATTTTATTTAGCATAGGATAAAGTACATCTTAATTTACTATCGAGGATGTTACTCACTTCATAAACTCTGTAAAAGTTTCAAACTTTTGACATGGCAAAGCCAATGCCAAACTTGAATGAGAGTCTTTTAAAGGATGCAAATTACGTAAAGCGTGCACAAACCAAAGTTTCGTGGTACCATGGAGAGATAAGAAGAACTGAGGCAGAACGAAGATTGAAAAAGGATGGTACGTACACAGTGAGCACTATCAATCTCCATTATTCAAGTACTGTACGAAGAATTTCGAGGAAAATGCGTGACATATACGGTATCCGCGTGACAAGTTAAAACAAAATGCGCTCTTTTTTTGGCGTTCGGCTTGACAAATATGCAAATTGTGGGACAGTTGGACGGCCTGATGAAAGCAAATGAGGTTTGTCTTATCAAATCAAAAATTTTAAAAAGCAAACCGAGCCCACATTTATGGGGGTAGATAGTTACGTTTGTGACCAATCTAATGTGGTCGTAGGATTCGATAAGGTAGATAGATGGTACTTACAGGTACTGTACTGTGGGTACGTTCTTGTAGAAATAATTATTAGATCTAGTTTTAGGCACACTCCGTATGCAGTTATGCCAGTTATGATTTTGGGCAAGCCCAAATCATATCTGTACTTATTTTTCTCTAAGTTCAATAATAAAAATGTGCTAGCATATACCTTTTAGACTATCAGTTCACTATATAATTGATTCAAGCATAATTTTGACCTAACATGCTCTTATTGAATTTCTAAACCAATCAGAATGCAGTATTACCATTCTCTAATTCTCCATACATCCTTGACCGTGCATTATGCACATCCAGGAATTTTAACTGAATTGTGACATCACATCTAGGGCTCTGTCTGGGGATGGCCACTGACAAATTTTGATGACAGAATCACAAGTTAAACCATGGGCTTTCCACACTCGTTGAACAGAATGTCAGCACAAATGCACTCACCTTCATTTCACACTTTGACATTCTCACGGGGGTATAGCAGACCCAATGATGCAATGAGCTTGCTCGGCGGTATCATGACTGTGTAACGGGTCTTAATGTATAAGTGTGCTCGGCGGTAGGTTCAAACAACGCGGATCCTCAAAGCATGTGCTCATGGTATATTCGTGTTTTAACACCCGTGCATTCTGTTCAATTCATGCTGAATTTTACCTTATTGAATGGCCTATCATATATTTATTCCTTGATTGATAATTTTCAAATTGATACATCTTGATTGTCAAGCATTGCAAAATCATCAACTTATCGTATCTAATTTGCAAGGCAGCTGTGTCAAGATGACATAATTGCCAATATAAACCTAGGTAATGAAAGGTATACTCAATAATGTATTGAATTGTATTAATATTGACCTTAATGTTATATATATTTTGCAAGTGGATCCAAGATACCAATGTCAAGTGGGTGAATCAATTATTTTGTGGGGGTGGCAAGATACACATATTTCAATTTTCATTAATCGATAATGTCTGCCTCTAACATTGTAGCTTGACATTATGATAAGAAGACAATTGGCTGGGAATCAGTGTTCACTAGACACAGGTGTTCAATAGAGTAGACTCATGTGTTCACTGGGCACAAATCTTCACTAAAGAGGCTTTCATTATGACAGTTTTAACTGTGTTCACTAGACACAGGTCTTCAATAGAGTAGACTCATGTGTTCACTGGGCACAGAGTCTTCACTAAAGAGGTGTTCATTATGACAGTTTTACTGTACTGAAATCCAGGCCATCCAACTGTCCCCCAATTAGCATATTTGTCACGCATTTGCTGGAAAATTTTGCAGTCACGCCAGTTTTTTGCGTGACATAATATCATTTTACTTGAATATAATCGAGCAAAAGTATTCCTGTAGAAAAATTTCAAAAAAGTGATCGCCGATACAGCAAAAAACTAACACATTTCATTCGGAATTTTTTACACGGATACTGTCATATGTCACACATTTTCCTCGAAATATTTTGTACCTACCCCCCTGAGGCCCAAGGTGTTCAGATTTGAAGAAAGTTGTTCAACATTTGTAAGTCACTCATGTTAGGTGTTCCCAAGTTGACAGCCCTGGAAAGCTAGAATTTCATAGGGGTTGCAGTGAAGCATTTTTCTATTAGGCATAGTGATTTGACAATGAAGCAAAAAATCATCAATGCCGCAAGTATTGTATGCAAGTAAAATGCTTAAAACATGAACAACTAGTCTTGTATAGTACTATGCATAAAGAAACATTTATGTCATCTAGATACAGTAGAACCTGTGTAAGTGGAACACCCTCCGTTCTGCCAAAAAGCGTTCCACTTAGGAGGTGTTCCACTTACGGAGGTTTTGGGTTCGCGGGGATTTAACGAACATACAAGATTAAATATAGAGTTGATATGTATCACTGAAAATAAGATTCTCCGATCATTGCAGGGCAGCTGTATAGCCTCAATTATCTATTTGTTTTACTCAAAAAGGTATCTGACATTCTTAATCCTCCTCATTCTGCCAAAAATGTTTTCTGACATTCTCAATCCTCCTCATTCTGCCAGTCTCAGACACTAAGATTTGGCAATTAAGTTTTAAAGACTTGTTCCTAATGCTAATAATTCATTTGTTTTTTAACTGACATTCTTAAGCTTACTTATTAAGTATGAAACAAACAGCAAGATGTAAGAGGCAAGAGCATCACATGTCCATCTCTTAATCCAATTTGCTGAATGATAATCTTATGAAATTCTAATTTGCTAATTATCAAATTAATTAGTGGTAGCATCACATGTTGATCTCTACAGGAGGTTAATCCAATTGACTATATGGTAATCCATTTAAATCCTACTTTGCCAATTATCACGTTATTACCTGTTTTCATACCCAGGTATCACTGTTGGAGGTTAATTTTGTTTACATAAGTATCACTATTGAAATTTATGGAAAATTGACTGTTCGACTTAGCAGGTTAATTTTTCAATATTGGGTGTTCACTGTTCAAGTTTGGAGGTGTTCCACTTACAGAGGTTCACTTAACATTGAGTCAATGGGTTTTTAGAACGGGACTTTGAAAAAGCGTTCCACTTCCGAGGTGTTCCACTTACGGAGATGTTCCACTTAGCAGGTTCTACTGTACTAACATACTGTTCTGATATTGCAATTGTCTGTTGTCTACTCCCTGATATTCTGGCACGTTGCCCTGCAAACATTTGAGGCTGTTTGAATATGGAAATTGAAACTAAGGCTTGGAGAGGAAGTGCCAAAAATAACTCGAGGCAAATATGGTCATATTTTAAGGCAAATTAAAATGGAATGAGTTGATTTTTCTGAAAAGTGACAATGCAAATCTCAAGGGTGTGTGCTGAAACCTGTAGCGACCTACTGGCTATGGTCATGAATGTGTTACATGGATAGGAAAGATTGTTTGCTGTCATCGAAATGATGTTATATATATGCTTATAACTTGTCTTATTAACATTAACATGCTTGAACTACATCTGTTTGTAAAATGTGTGTCCTTTAATCTTATTCATGATATCAAGATTAAGTATTATTACTGCATACCAAATTATGAATCATATATTCAATATTTTATTTGATTACACCTATTGCCAAAATTACTTTTTCTCTATAAAGTAACTTTCATTGACTTTATTCCTGGAAGTGTCTCTTTTTATTTGAATACACTCATTGAATGTGGCGTAGGATAATTATACCTTTAAGGAGTCAACAAGGTAAGCTTTTATAGCATTGCCAGATATTGAAAATATTTTACAGGGAGGTGAGGGTTTTATATTTTTAAAAAGTTGCACATAAAATTCACGCAAATAATCTATTTGTGCAGTGCAGTAAGAGAGAATGTGTGACAGATGTGAATTCAATTATTTTAATTGACATAGTGAACCCTCAATCAAAAAACCCTTGCATATTATTAAATCATCATTTTGGGGGATCATATCTATACATGTACTATACCAATCAAAGCATCAAACAGACTCATCTAATAAACCTAACATATTGATTAAGAAATGAAACAAAAATATATATGAACTACATATTATACTTTCAAAGTAACATTTGATTTAAATTACGATTGGTGAAAATGAAACATATGGACCAATCAGGAACAAATATATTTGGAGTTACATTTGTATTTCATATTGAAAGGGCTGACTTTTAAAAGTATTTGTTATATTACTGCTATAATAGGGAATAAAAAAATAAGAAATATACAAAATTATATTTTAACATACATGTAAGCTTACTTATTGTTTCTTTTCCAGGACATGCAAAAAATGGTTTATTCCTTATAAGGGACAGTTCCCATAGCGATGAGGATTTTGTGTTGTCCCTGATGTACAATGGGGAACCAGCTCATTTCCAAATACAACGGACTGGGGATGCGTTTTATTGCATTGATGAGGGACCAATCATTCATGGTAAGGATCAAAACATTTATTTTGCACTTTATGCTATTATTAAGGGTTTTACTCCAAAGCTGCACACTAAATTCTTTACATCCATCTGTTAACTGTGAGATCATGATCTACCCACATTGAAGGGATATGCAATTCAAAAAGCATAATTTCCTCAAAACACATGAACAACAAAAGTTACTCTTAGATGTCTTTTTGATCTCTATGTACAGTAAAACCTGTATATCTGAACACCTGGCTAATCCGAACACCTTCCAATGTGAACACTTTTTTTCGGTCCCATTTTTTCCTCCCATTGACTCCCATGTTAAATAAACCTTGAAATCTGAACACCTCCTAATCTGAACAGTGAACAATCAGATTTGAAAAACTGACCTGTCTAATCTGAACATTTTATCAGAAATCAAATGTCTGGACATTTCAATAATAGCCACATATTGAGTCAATGTTATAGTTCTTATTATCTTTACATATCCAATGCAATCAAAGAACCAATATTGTCCTAATTAACTTATTTAGTCTCAGTGACATCCCTAATTTGTGGAAAACAACAGGAAAGGTGTGAATACGGGAGTTAATTGGTTTATCTTATTAGAAAAGAACTGAATGTTTTATGTTTGGATTAAGAGAAAGGTGTGAATCAAGAAGATAATTGGTTTATCCTCATTTTAAATTAACTGGATGTTTTTGATTTGGATTATGAACAAGTCTTAACTGTTTTATATCCCATGTGTCTGTTATGATAGCTAGGATTCAATCAGTAAATGTTTTATAATCACAGAGACAACACAGACACATTTGCAGACAAGATTATAATTGTTTTATCATTATTAGAAATTACCTGGATGTTTTTGATTTAGATTAAGAGAAAGGTGAGAATCTGGGAGGTAATTGGTTTATCCTTATTTTAAATTAACTGGATGTTTTTGATTTGGATTATGAACAAGTCTTAACTGTTTTATATCCCATGGGTCTGTTATGATAGCTAGGATTCAATCAGTAAATGTTTTATAATCACAAAGACAACACAGACACATTTGTAGACAAGATTATATCATGAGAAAGAGAAAAATTCAACTTCGTAATATCCTATCACTAAAATGCCTTCTAAAAAGGCACATCTGACATACTGAATGCCCTTGATATTTTGAAAAAAAATTCTTTTTAATTGAAGAGGGTATCTACTCAAATATTGCTACTGCTAAAAGTGCCAAGAAACAAACAACAATGAACGACTTTTTCAAGCTAAAGTAAAGCAGTGCTATGTAACCATAATATGAGATAAGTCATTTAATAAGCATAAGATTTCGTACAAGACTATCATATACTGTCTTATTCAGTGTATTTCAAAGTTTTTGCCAAAATTAAAGAGTTATTTTCCAAAAATAATGAAATTGTTCAAAATGTAAATAAAACATAGCATATACATGTAGGCTATAGGCCTATTGTAGTATTAAGTGTTCAATATAGTGGACTGAACAATGAAAATCCCCCCCCCCCCGACCAACAATATCCTCGAAATTTGAACACCTGCCAATTTGAACGCTTTTGGCTGGTCCCATGGGTGTTCGGATTAGACAGGTTTTACTGTACATGTAATTGTAATCTATTGCTGACTGCATTTGCCTACATAAGAATCAAGATACAGTAAACCTCACTAATACGTATGCTACTGAGACTGGTCAAAACTGCTTGTGTTCACTTTAAAGTTTTCCTAATATGTGAGTTTGAGATATAACAAAATCAGGACCAAGAAAAAGTGTTCACATTGAGAGATGTTCCGATTACAGAGGTGTTCAAATTACAGAGGCGTTTGGATATACAGGCTTTAATAATAACATAATTTAATAGCATAATGAAAATGAGATGATTTAATTTCAGGTTTAGATGACCTGGTAGATCATTATAATGCTGATGCTGATGGTCTGCCCACCAACCTACAAGAGATATGTATGGGAACACCACCCCCAGAACATGCTAGGAGATTTGGTGTCACCAACTACTTACATAGAGCAATACGGAAAGGTACAAATATGCAACACAAACATGCAACATTCAACAACCAATATCAATCCAATATATCAAATGCTTGAACCTGCACATCGCTCCAAAACGCAATATGTTGACATATATTGTTTTTACATTTTCAAGCTCTAATATAAAGTTTATGTAAATAAAAATTGTTTTTTTCTGCGTATTATCAAAGAACAATCATTTAGTTAAAAAAATAAAAAAGCGAATGGGGATTCTAACCCGGGCCTCCGGCGTGCTGAGCGAGCATTATACCGCTAGACCACCGTGTTATCATGAATGGTGGAAGTAATTAAACGCTACTTATTTTGAATGCTATGATTCGGAAGTGACGTCACGTTCTTAATTTAGAAACCTTCCAAAAATCATATCGTCGTCGACAATCGAAGCAATTCAATGAAAAATCTTTGAAATGACACATTTATCGTAAGTATTTCTACACAAGATTTGCCCCATTTGTTCATCATTCTATAATCTTTCATTAAGCTCAAAATGATAAAGTTCACCCCCGAAACAACCCAAGATTGCGTTTCGGGGCAAAGTCCAGCTTTAAAGTATTTAGATTGGCAGGTGTTCACATCGAAAGGTTTTTAAACAAGAAGTCTTAGGGAGATTTAAAAATTGGATTGAAAAAAGACATTCACTTGAAAGGTGTTCAGATTAGAGAGGTGTTCAGATGTACAGGTTTTACTGAGCTTTATAATAAGTCTGCAGAGAACTGTAAAGTGAAGGGAATTCATTCCTCCATACAATCAAGTTTATTAACAACTACACAATAACGAGTAGAACATAAAGTGTACCTAACAAATCATTTGTTACATAACCTCTAATTATTTGTTTGTTACATATTTGTTTTAGGCAATGAAATGGAGATAAAGAAGATATTAGGTTCAGCCTCCTGTCCTGACATTAATGCCAAATCAAAGACAGGTAAGTAGACTACATCAAGTCACCAGGTCAACAATATTTAGGTTATTAAATGTGATGGGGTCAGCAGTATTCGGGAAGGTCAGGACCATATGTGTAGGTCATTTGGGTCAAAAATAAAAAAAATGGCTTCCATGTTATTCTTAACAGTCATAGTCCTCAGAAGGACAAGTAAAGATATTTTTTAAACTAATTTGATGAACTGAATCATTATTTGCAGTCCAATTTAATACAAAATCATTTACTATTGAAATCATTAAAAATCAAAAATATGAATCCAGTTTTAAGGTTATTTAATTTAAACTCAATTCATTAAACAGTATTGAATTTGAATTGTGCCTGATTTTGGGAATTTGATATAATTCTTTAGTGTATTTGATAAATGCCTGTTATTCTTTGTAACATATTCTCCCAATGCAGGCAGCACTGCTCTACATCAGACCAGTGAGGTTGGGATGGATGACATCATCAGAATACTTATAGACAACAAGGCTGATGTTAATGCAAAGGATGCTGATGGTTGTACTTCTGTTCAGGTAGGTATAGTTGAATACATTGCATCAGTAAAACAAAAACTAAACATTTGTACTGTATAATATTGTTAGAAAACTATGTGTATGTCATAGCCTTGGAAGAATCAATGGGTTTAAAAACAAAAACAAAATTTGCATTCTTCATTTAACTGCATTGATCAATTTGTGTATGATATATAGGATATTCATAGATCTATGTGACAAATTTGAATGTCTCCCATCTCATCGCAAAAACACGAAACCAAGTTTGTGTGAAATTCTATTTATTTGTAAAAATCCAAAGTTCCGAAAATATGCTTCTTACAGTTTTTGTCTGACTCCAGTCCATGCAACGAGGTTCCGAAGATTTAATGTAAAATTGCCTCTTTTATTCCCAAATTTTGAGGTAGGCAGAGCCAAAATAAGAGGTCTTGTCCAATCAGATCTCAAAAATAACCATTAATAAAAATTGGCCGAAAATATGTGTGAAATAATTCTCTAGATATGAATATAAATATTATAGATTTCTGCCTACATTGTTCAGAAAAAGGTCGAAGGTTTCCCATAAATCCCACTTTTGTTTATAATTCGTGATTGCAAGAACTTAGTGTTTACATGGACCAGAGTTTGTATGATGTCATGCAAGTGAACTATTCACCGCTCTCATTTAAGCTATTAAGTAATTAAGTCCATAAAATACACTTTTTATAAGCATTCAAATGATAAAAATTGCAGAATAGTTTTCACAATTGTATAAAGATTATATATGTATAATGATATAGAATATATGTCCTCTAAATATTGATAATTGGTAATTAGCACTGAAACACACCATCAATAATTCATATTTCTTTGTTGATTTTGTTCTGTCAAAATGTAATGTTGCATCCGGAAAATATGAAAACATATCACCACCTCATTAATCAAAGATTACAATTCTTCACATTTAGGTCATAATTTATCCCATGTCAAACGTCGCTAGGCCCAACCCCCGAAGCTTTTCTCATTACTATTGGTTACATTAAAGAAGTATCCAGAAGCACCATCAGCTCTTATATTTAGTTTTCATGTCATGTTGATTTTAGAAATGTTTTAATGCTTACAAATCGCTATGTTAATCGGTAGATGTTGATTGAAACACAACTGATATAATAACAACTCAAATGGTGCCAGAATCAACAACGATAAATCAATACAATCCAAAGTTAATGTAACCTTACTTTTTCCAAACTGAACACAAATATATTATACCATAGTTAATTATTAAATAAGCCCAATTGCAACTTTGTCACATTCCTCCCACCTAAGAAATTTGTTTGTCCTCAAACAAAAAGAAAAATCAATTTGAAGTGCTGTAGTGATACATTTTCAGTACAAGTATACTAAATGAATATATTTACAAGTTTGAACATGCATATGATAATTGTCAGTCATTAAACTATCGAATAATATTTGATTATACTCCATTATATTGGTATATATTGATATATATGTTTGTTACGGTCCTTATTTGTCACTCTCCATGCCCACTGGTATCTCAATTCATGAGGTCTCAGAAAAGTTGGCCATATATCAACAGAAATCAACATAGGTGTCCCACACATTAGTTATCTCTCATGACATCCTTCTTTGTCGATTTAGAGTTATAATTTATCCAAATGCTGCTTGGAGAATGATCAGGTTGAACGTAATTCAAAATGTTCCTTTATACAATTGACAAGCAAAGTGTTTATAATATTCATAGCAGCACCAGTATCTAACAAGCAGTTTACATGTTGATTATATATATAAGCACTGGCAGCTTCAATCCACTTGTCTCTTCCATTTGATATAGTTCTTTATTGGATTCTACTTTCACACCAAAATAGCGGTTATCGAGCCATTCTGGTGTGGCTTTGGGTCCATTCGTATAACTAGCTGAGCCTTGACCCTTGAACTGCTATTTCCCATTTCCCACTTGCCGATTGGCATTTACTCGAGCAAGTTCTGGGTAGCTTCTTCGCACGTAAAAGTCTCTTTGTAGCTCCTAGGCTATCAGTAACATCTTGAAGGGTCGTCGACTTGTGATATTACTTGCTTGAAAGGTTAAATACTCCATGAGATATTCAACGGTGATTTATACATTTGTCGCTTTTCTTCTGGTTCAAATCTGTTTCGTAAGGCTGAACAAAGTTTTTCATAATCACGCCCATCTGCTTCTCTAATATCATACAACATATGCATTACCCAATGCCAGTTTCCTTAATGTGGTTGCCAGTTCAAGGGCCTTTTGTTGTTTCATCCCAATCGTTAGATGCTGAGACAATTTCGAAGTGTTCTTTGAAATCCCGTCAAATTGTGAATCCAATTATATTCAGCAGGTTTCTTGACTTTCTTCTTCTCAACATGTTCATATGCTATAATATTTGTACTTCAGGTTTGGATTTCACTTCTGGCAACCCTCGTTCGTCTGACAAAGGGTATTGTCCCTCTTACTTTCAATATTGCCTCTTTGTAGGCTTCCCCGAAAATGTTGTTGTGTCTTCTTGGGTGCATCTTCCGGATCAGGTAACCATCGTTCCTCCTTCCAAGGATATTGTAGTGCCTCCTTGTAGGCATCCCCTGTAGATAGCCGTCATTCCTTAGGCCAAGAATTTTGGTGTGCCTTCTTGATGGCATCTTCCGGATCAGGTAACCATCGTTCATTCCTCCCAAGGATATTGTTTAGCCTCCTTGAAGGCATCCCCTGTAGGTAACCGTCGTTTCCTCAGGCCAAGAAACATAATTCGCCTTCTTGGTGGCGTCATCCACATCAGGTAACCGTCGTCCCCCTTCCAAGGATATTGTTTAGCCTCCTTGTAGGCATCCCCTGTAGGTAACCGTCGTTTCCTCAGGCCAAGAATATTGGTGTGCCTTCTTGGTGGCATCTTCTGGATCAGATTATTGTGGTTCCTCAATCCAAGAATATTAGTGTGCCTTCTTGGTGGCATCCCCCATGGGTAATTGTTCCTCAATCCAAGAATATTAGTGTGCCTTCTTGGTGGCATCTTCCGGATCAGTTAATTGTGGTTCCTCAATCCAAGAATATTAGTGTGCCTTCTTGGTGGCATCCCCCATGGGTAATTGTTCCTCAGTCCAAGAATATTAGTGTGCCTTCTTGGTGGCATCTTCCGGATCAGGTTGTTCCTCAGTCCAAGAATATTGGTGTGCCTTCTTGGTGGCATCTTTATTGAGCTCCAACTTTCAAGGGTATTATAGTTGCCCCCTCGTATGGCATCTTTAGTGGAAGGTCATTCCTGTTTGCAGGGAATTGGACGTCGCTTCCCCCATGGCGACAGAGTAGGTTCGAAAAGTGACTGCCTTCTTCTTTGCAGGGTTTGTACACACCCTGTCTTTGGGACTGATCCCATTTGAAGCACCTACATCGGCTTTTGTCAGTGATTGCTGTGGCGAGAGTACTTCCATATCAATCTGAAGCACTTGTAAATCTGTAGGGATGGATGTTACCAAACCTCCCGACACGACTTCCTGGTGTTTCATTTCATACATCGTTGATAGGTTAACATGTCTCGCTCTCTGGTTCGAAATTCTTTGACTTCATCACATAAGCGGAAATTGACGTCGCTTTCCGTGGTGCGACACAAGTGACGGTATTTTTCTTGGAATTACTCCCGAGAAAACAGATGTATGACTCGTATTAACATGGGACTGCCAGCTTGTAAGGTTGTGAGTGCGTGTGTGAACAACTGCAGGTCTTTGCTACTGTCATTAAACATTTTGGCACAGTAGTAGTTGACTTTATGGAGCCCCCAGTCTAGACTCCCTGCAATTGTCGCTAATAATATGAACAGATCATCAATGGTCTTTGGCTTCTTGGTCCCTTTTCCTTTTCTGATCGGGCCTCGTATATACATATATACTTATATCAACATCAGAGGATATGGGGCACCCTTTTGCATTCCATTGTCCTATTCGTCAATCAAATCTTGCGCAGGGATTTGATCTCAGGTCCAGGTATGCTTCAATGATCTAGTTTGACTGAGTCGTTTTAAGTCGACTTTATTGAAAACTCCATTACACGATCTGGGTCATGGCAAAAACATGAACTTTCATGGTAAATTCCCATGTTTCTTTTTGTTTTGTTATATTTTATCAATGGATGGCAAGTTGTCATGAATTGTAACCTAGTTTCCCTTCAAAAAATCTTTGACACTGAAATTGACCAAATAATTTTACTACAAAAATCTACATTCCTAAATAGATGTGGCAACAGTATTTAAAGTTGCCCTGACTTAATCTTAATCTATTCAGTATTAGAAATGTGAAGTTACAAATCATGCAAGTCATTGAATAAAGCATAAATTATTTAATATTCAGAAAACTTAAGATACTTTTGGAATAGTTCAGGTAGTGGTATTTCTTTTAAGTCTTTTATCTGCACCAAATCTTGAATTTTTATGATGCAGTTGGCTTTTAGGGTTGATGGTACATCTTGAAATTCGAAAAATTCTGTGATGTTTTCATATTTCTTTTGAAGTTTCGATATTTTCTCAAAATTGTATCGAATAAACCCGTTTTCACATATGAAATGTGACAATTTCTGAAAATGTGAAATTCATCCAGTTTAATATAGTCTGGCACTATAATTTGAGCATCTGACATGTGTTCATTGATAAGGCGTCTATATGTTCTTAAAAGTAAATTAGATCGCTTAATAAGACTATATTGAAGACCAGTTATTGGAAGTGATCCCTGATTTGGGAAAATTAGGGTAATCCTTGGCATTCTAAAATTTAATTACTTGCTTTGTACTTGTTTTTAAACTGTAAATACAAGTCTAACAAAAATTACTGGCTATCTTTATTTAACAAAAAGTGTCATCATTTACATTTCCTCAAATTTCGCAAAAATAAATCAATTCATAAATTGACAGTGTTTTACAATAGTGATACTTTCACAGTTTATATTTGAATGTGTTGCGCCTTATCAACAATTAATTGTTCCAGGGAGATGTTTCCCAAAAATGTCAAAACGGTTATCATAACATAACATAAACTAGTTCACGATTACTCCAAGTAAGTTGAATAGCTAGAACAGAAATGTATGCCTGTATTAAGTTGGTTGTATCACATCATAATCTAACAACAGAACAGCATCAACAAACTGGATTAATATTGAAATGAATTAGTTCAATACCGATAACATTAAATCGGTGTTAAAACAATGCAAAACAAAACAACCAGAAATCACTTTATCAGGAGCTTTAAAAGTAAGTTTCAAATTTTCTTGGAATTCAAACCAAAATAAAAAGTTAAGTACTGGTCAACATGTGATTTTGAGGGTAAGTGAAACATTCTTTTGAATTTACTGAAAACATACTTATTTTATCAGTTAAATGTGAATATGAATCATTAACATCTCGGCCATGTTGTAGATCTACTGATAACTAAATCTAAGTCAAAATTCACTGACAAGAAAAACAGAAAATATACTTCATACTAATGAATCAAAATATTGAGTTCTTTACTTAACAAAAGTTGAGTTGAATACATGATCCCTCTTAAACAAACAGATATATAATTGTCACTAAAGAATGATTTACTAGACATGTTCATCAATCTAATTTCCCATGAGGTAGGCAGAGCCTGAGGTTTGTCCATCAGATCTTATAATAAACCAACTCTCCAAATGCCTCAGACGAAGGTTCTTTTGTTATTCTTTGACAACATTTTCTGTGCATAAATTATGAAAACAAGTCGTATTTGGGACAATTGTAAGGTTGTAGTCTTGTCTTGTACTGTCCTTACATTGTTTATTCCAATTGTCGCTAAAATATGAACAGATCATCAAATCGGGCCTCGTATAAGATATTCGTCCAAATATTTGTCAGGTTACAATGATCTAGATTCGAGAGTCCATTAATCTCTGGCAAAAACATGTTAAATTCCCATGCCAATGGATCCACCTACAACTTTGACACTGAAATTCCAAATAATTTTATACCACATTTTGGCAAAGTATTAAGTGCCCTGAAATTCTGGTTACAAATCACTTATAAAGCTAACTTAACAACTGGACCAAATTGCACCAAAAAATGCAGTTGGCTTTTAGGGTTGAGTGAAATTAAATGTTTTATATTTCTTTTGAAGTCATATTTTCTCAAATTGTATGAATAAACGTGAAATTGCCATCCAGCTGACTTAATTTTCCAAATAATATGTTCAAATTGATTTATCTATATTGAAGACCAGTTATTGGAAGTGCAATTCTATTTAATTACTTGCTTTGTATTGAGTCTAACAAAAATTACTGGCTATCTTTATTTACAAAGTGTCATCATTTACATTTCCTCAAATTTCGCAAAAATAAATCAATTCATAAATGACAGTGTTTTACAATAGTGATACTTTCACAGTTTATATTTGAATGTGTTGCGCCTTATCAACAATTAATTGTTCCAGGGAGATGTTTCCCAAAAATGGAACCTAGTTCACGATTACTCCATAGCTAGAACAGAAATGTATGCCTGTATTAAGTTGGTTGTATCACATCATAATCTAACAACAGAACAGCATCAACAAACTGGATTAATATTGAAATGAATTAGTTCAATACGATAACATTGAGTTCTTTACTTAACAAAAGTTGAATACATGATCCCTCTTAAACAAACAGATATATAATTGTCACTAAAGAAATGATTTACTAGACATGTTCATCAAATCTTTCTAACAATCACATTAACTTGTTCTATACTATTTACCTTAATTTTGTTTAAAATCAAAATGGTCATCAACAATATCAACCTTTGAAATATAAAAAATCTCAATTCCTTATTTGAGTAAATGACTTGGTTAAATCATTTCATTCTGATTTTCATTCTTATAATAAACCAACCAAATCTGACAGTTCTTTTAACAACTTTTCTGTGCATAAAAATGAAGTGTTTTACCGTAGTCTTGCTGTATCCTTACATTGTTTATTCCTGCTGCCAAGTAAAGATATCCATATGTTTACGCAGATTGAGAGTATTAATCTCTCAGTTACAGCCTTCCATACAACTTCTTTCCAATCCACATTTTGTATTAAGAAACTGGCAAATACTTATCTAATTAACAACTGACCAAATTGCAAAATATTTAGTTTAAATATATCTCAATCCAATACGTTTGCCATCCACTGATTATTTTCCAAATAATTTTCAAATGTTTTCATGCTTATGCAATAAAATATTGAGACAATACAAAGGCCACAGAAATGTGGGCCTTGACCAGGGCGGAACCTAGTCAATTTATCCCACCACTGCCACCAATTGTGACGAATTTGAATGTCTCCCATCTCATCGCAAAAACACGAAACCAAGTTTGTGTGAAATTCTATTTATTTGTAAAAATCCAAAGTTCCGAAAATATGCTTCTTACAGTTTTTGTCTGACTCCAGTCCATGCAACGAGGTTCCGAAGATTTAATGTAAAATTGCCTCTTTTATTCCCAAATTTTGAGGTAGGCAGAGCCAAAATAAGAGGTCTTGTCCAATCAGATCTCAAAAATAACCATTAATAAAAATTGGCCGAAAATATGTGTGAAATAACTCTCTAGATATGAATCTAAATATTATAGATTTCTGCCTACATTGTTCAGAAAAAGGTCGAAGGTTTCCCATAAATCCCACTTTTGTTTATAATTCGTGATTGCAAGAACTTAGTGTTTACATGGACCAGAGTTTGTATGATGTCATGCAAGTGAACTATTCACCGCTCTCATTTAAACTATTAAGTAATTAAGTCCATAAAATACACTTTTTATAAGCATTCAAATGATAAAAATTGCAGAATAGTTTTCACAATTGTATAAAGATTATATATGTATAATGATATAGAATATATGTCCTCTAAATATTGATAATTGGTAATTAGCACTGAAACACACCATCAATAATTCATATTTCTTTGTTGATTTTGTTCTGTCAAAATGTAATGTTGCATCCGGAAAATATGAAAACATATCACCACCTCATTAATCAAAGATTACAATTCTTCACATTTAGGTCATAATTTATCCCATGTCAAACGTCGCTAGGCCCAACCCCCGAAGCTTTTCTCATTACTATTGGTTACATTAAAGAAGTATCCAGAAGCACCATCAGCTCTTATATTTAGTTTTCATGTCATGTTGATTTTAGAAATGTTTTAATGCTTACAAATCGCTATGTTAATCGGTAGATGTTGATTGAAACACAACTGATATAATAACAACCCAAATGGTGCCAGAATCAACAACGATAAATCAATACAATCCAAAGTTAATGTAACCTTACTTTTTCCAAACTGAACACAAATATATTATATCATAGTTAATTATTAAATAAGCCCAATTGCAACTTTGTCACAACTATACACTTGTTACACGGATATAATGGGCCTATTGCAGAGGTGCTTTAATATACATCAGGTGCGTAGCCAGGGGGGTCGGAGGGGTTCAAGCACCCCCCCTCCTCCTGACCAAAAATTCTTTCAAAATCATGCAGTTTTTCACCATTCTCATCACTTTTTAGTAATTTTGACCCTTTTGGGCTAAAGTAGTCAAAAGTGACCCCCCCCCCCTTGCCAAATCCTGGCTAAGGACCTTTACATGTACTTATTCTGCCACAGTAGTATGTAGAACATTTTCGTTCCATGTTTTCTAGAGAGCAGCTCAAAATGGTCATGATTCTACAATCCAACTTCTGGTGACTTATGGGGGAGCTGACCCACATGATCGCTGCACTGTGAATGGATACTCAGCGCTTCATTTCACCGCAGAATGTGGCGACCTCAAATGCATGAAAGTTAGTATTTAGAGAAATGATTGTTGATATTGAAAGGTGAACTTTGGTGTCTGAATTTTAAGATTATTATTAGTTTTTGAAATATTATTCATTCAACAATGCTTGTTTATGTAAAAAATGGTTTGATATTTGAAATAGGCATTTTATGAAGTTGACCAAATCACGTTGACGATTTATTTTAGCTTCCCCTTAAGTGTGGCGCCTATTTTTTATTCCCAATACAGCATGCACCGTGTTAGTTCAGGAGTATGTACCATGTTATTGCATCCTGTACCGTGTTATTTAAGATGCTTCTCTCATTGGGAACCCCATGCACCATGATAATTCATGAGTATACACCATATTTTTACTATATGCATCATGTTATTTAAGATGCTTCTCTCATTGGGAACCCCATGCACCATGATAATTCATGAGTATACACCATATTTTTACTATATGCATCATGTTATTTCAGATGCTTCTTTCATTGGGAACCCCATGCACCATGATAATTCATGAGTATACACCATATTTTTACTATATGCATCATGTTATTTCAGATGCTTCTTTCATTGGGAACCCCATGCACCATGATAGTTCATGAGTATACACCATGTTTTTACTATATGTATCATGTTATTTCAGATGCTTCTCTCATTGGGAGCCCCATGCACCATGATAATTCATGAGTATACACCATGTTTTTACTATATACATCATGTTATTGCAATGTTATTTAAGATGCTTCTCTCATTGGGAGCCCCATGCACCATGATAATTCATGAGTATACACCATGTTTTTACTATATACATCATGTTATTGCAATGTTATTTAAGATGCTTCTCTCATTGGGATCCACATGCACCATGATATTTCATGAGTATACACCATATTTTTACTATATGCATCATGTTATTTCAGATGCTTCTTTCATTGGGAACCCCATGCACCATGATAATTCATGAGTATACACCATATTTTTACTATATGCATCATGTTATTTCAGATGCTTCTTTCATTGGGAACCTCATGCACCATGATAATTCATGAGTATACACCATGTTTTTACTATATGCATCATGTTATTTCAGATGCTTCTCTCATTGGGAACCCCATGCACCATGATAATTCATGAGTATACACCATGTTTTTACTATATGCATCATGTTATTTCAGATGCTTCTCTCATTGGGAACCCCATGCACCATGATAATTCATGAGTATACACCATGTCTTTACTATGCATCATGTTATTTCAGATGCTTCTCTCATTGGGAGCCCCATGCACCATGATAATTCATGAGTAAACACCATGTTTTTACTATATGTATCATGTTATTTCAGATGCTTCTCTCATTGGGAACCTCATGCACCATGATAATTCATGAGTATACACCATGTTTTTACTATATGCATCATGTTATTTCAGATGCTTCTCTCATTGGGAGCCCCATGCACCATGATAATTCATGAGTAAACACCATGTTTTTACTATATGTATCATGTTATTTCAGATGCTTCTCTCATTGGGAACCCCATGCACCATGATAATTCATGAGTATACACCATGTCTTTACTATGCATCATGTTATTTCAGATGCTTCTCTCATTGGGAGCCCCATGCACCATGATAATTCATGAGTAAACACCATGTTTTTACTATATGTATCATGTTATTTCAGATGCTTCTCTCATTGGGAACCTCATGCACCATGATAATTCATGAGTATACACCATGTTTTTACTATATGCATCATGTTATTTCAGATGCTTCTCTCATTGGGAACCTCATGCACCATGATAATTCATAAGTATACACCATGTTTTTACTATATGCATCATGTTATTTCAGATGCTTCTCTCATTGGGAACCTCATGCACCATGATAATTCATGAGTATACACCATGTCTTTACTATGCATCATGTTATTTCAGATGCTTCTCTCATTGGGAGCCCCATGCACCATGATAATTCATGAGTACACACCATGTTTTTACTATATGCATCATGTTATTTAAGATGCTTCTCTCATTGGGAACCTCATGCACTATGATAATTCATGAGTATACACCATGTTTTTACTATATGCATCATGTTATTTCAGATGCTTCTCTCATTGGGAACCCCATGCACCATGATAATTCATGAGTATACACCATGTTTTTACTATATGCATCATGTTATTTCAGATGCTTCTCTCATTGGGAACCCCATGCACCATGATAATTCATGAGTACACACCATGTTTTTACTATATGCATCATGTTATTTCAGATGCTTCTCTCATTGGGAACCTCATGCACCATGATATTTCATGAGTACACACCATGTTTTTACTATATGCATCATGTTATTTCAGATGCTTCTCTCATTGGGAACCTCATGCACCATGATATTTCATGAGTATACACCATGTTTTTACTATATGCATCATATTATTTCAGATGCTCCTCTCATTGGGAACCTCATGCACTATGATAATTCATGAGTATACACCATGTTTTTACTATATGCATCATGTTATTTCAGATGCTTCTCTCATTGGGAGCCCCATGCACCATGATAATTCATGAGTATACACCATGTTTTTACTATATGCATTATGTTATTTCAGATGCTTTTCTCATTGGGAACCCCATGCACCATGATAATTCATGAGTATACACCATGTTTTTACTATATACATCATATTATTTCAGATGCTTCTCTCATTGGGAACCTCATGCACCATGATAAGTCATGAGTATACACCATGTTTTTACTATATGCATCATATTATTTCAGATGCTCCTCTCATTGGGAACCTCATGCACTATGATAATTCATGAGTATACACCATGTTTTTACTATATGCACCATGTTATTTCAGATGCTTCTCTCATTGGGAACCTCATGCACTATGATAATTCATGAGTATACACCATGTTTTTACTATATGCATCATATAATTTCAGATGCTTCTCTCATTGGGAACCTCATGCACTATGATAATTCATGAGTATACACCATGTTTTTACTATATGCATCATATAATTTCAGATGCTTCTCTCATTGGGAACCTCATGCACTATGATAATTCATGAGTATACACCATGTTTTTACTATATGCATCATATAATTTCAGATGCTTCTCTCATTGGGAACCTCATGCACCATGATAATTCATGAGTATACACCATGTTTTTACTATATGCATCATGTTATTTCAGATGCTTCTCTCATTGGGAGCCCCATGCCAGCCTAGAGATGACAATTGCTGCACTCCTTACACAGTTGCCATTCAAAATGGGAAAAAACAATGTGCCAAATATTTAGGTGAGAATAGAAATTGACTCGCATGCAATTCAGAGATAATTTCAGGATTATCATGTTTGTTTGAATTAAGCCCCTTATCTAACATTTAAAAAAGTATAATATAATATTATAGCTGTGATAGTGCAAGAACTGATTTTTGATTTACTGAATTTGGAATAAGGATTAAGGAAGCCAAAAATCTATGTATGTTTTTATATCAAATAAGTAAAATCATATCTGTCAAGGAGGAAAAGTTATAATTGTTTCCCTCTTTTACTGTATGCAGTATAATTAATGTGGTAATGAATGCTAATTCTAATTATTGGTTAAGTTTTATTATTGTTTAACATGGATTTGACAGTTTTAAATTGTGAGCCATTTACATTTGATATGTTGGACACTGCAGTGTAATATAGCTTTGCTTGCATTGTCTTGTCCTGGGCCCCTGCTAATAATGTGAAAAAATACTAAGTCTGTCTAGTATTGTATTGTATTTTGTTTACCACCAATGAAGGTGAGCAATATCTCTTGGGTATATCCCGTATATATACGGTCGTAATTAACAAAATTAGCCTGGAAGATAGACCCAGAAACCCCTCCCTGGAGATGCCCTGTGTTGTTTTATGTGCACTTATACATAGTCTAGTCATACACACCACAGCCTTTTGTACGTGATAAATGAATATTTGTGATAAATGAATATTTTTGAAATGTATTTTATCTATAGCTTTCAAACTGAAAGTCCATTCTATTTTCTATGTTCTAGAGCAATATACAACACCCCCTGCCATGACAAGTCAAGCAGACTGGCTCCATACAGCTATAGATAGACATGTAAGTGTTTAGTGCGTATATCTCACTAGAAATGAAATGATGGTTTTTTATTGTGATGAAAATGTAGTGTAAAGAGTAGAATCAACAAGGAATAAAGTAAACAGACTTCTAGTCAACAACATGTATTCTGTATTGCAGATAACGCAATTTCAGAAATGGAATGCCTAACTTAACTGTTTATAACTTTTCGAAAAAACTTAAGTGGCCACCTTGAGTTGATTTATATCAGTCCATACACATACAAAATACAAATAGTTCAAATGAGGCAAGCAAGGCGCAAACATTTTGTAGAATAATGTTTAATAGACTGAAACTGTAAACATTGTGTCCATCCATGGGGGTTGAAAGCCCATGGTCCATCTGATCATCTTACCTCACCTATTTGCCTCATGTTGCAGCCTTTGCTATTTTCCTGGTAAACTTTGTTTAATTTTTTGTCGAATTAAACTGATATTCATCTGAAGATTACTGTGTATATCCACAATCAACATGAAAAAAAGCAAAAATATAATAGTTTTATGCATTACTGTTTCAGGGAGCCTTGTCTCTTCTGCAAAGTTACAACTTTGAGCGTGGTTTATTTCTTGTAAGAAAAAGCTCTCGTAATCCACAGTGGTATGTACTTGCTATAAGTGATGGAAATGGTCCCTATAACTATGAAATACGCTGGCACGTAAGTGTAACCTGTTTTCTTTATATTTATATATGAGGTATATGTTTGCGATTTGATTGGCTGATCGTGATTAAAAATACCATAGCATATTTCACAGCTCCTTCAATTTTTGGATTATAAAAGACGCATTGTCCACCTGGGAATTCAGCTGACAACTGCACTGGACAAAAATAAAAGTATACTATACAAGATACATGTACGTAATTTATTGATTAAAATAAATGTTCACAGGTTAAAATAAATATTCTATATTTCTTTGAAATGTAAAGTGATTGTAGAGAATGTCTAGCAATGATATAATAAAACAAATATTTCATTCCATGTTTGGCCAATACCTGTTGCACTTTCAATGATTTTTGCAGCATGTATTGCCCTCGCCACATGGGCTGCCGGCAATACATACATGTACTGCAAAAATTATTGAAAGATGACCAGGTATTTCCCTCCATAGAATGAAAATTTGCTTATTATTTACATGTTGTGTAATTTGATCAATATGGCAAGTGAATATGACATGTGACCCAGTTTTGACCAATCATATAATTGCAAGCTTGAGAGTGATACAAAATGTATTATTCATGGTTTATTTGATTGCATACATTTACGTTCTGATACATTGTTGCAGGAAAATCACTGGTATTACATAGATGAAGGGCCATACTTAGACTCACTAGAACACGTAGTTGAACACTATTGTCTCAGGAAAGATGGCCTTCCATGCAGAATAACTACAGCAATATCTCCAGGTTGGACTCTTTATTACTTTGTATTTGGCTAATTCATTTGTAGAGATTTGTATTGTTTAATTTTCAAATGTATTATTTGTGCATTTTCTGATTTTCTGAATCAGGCCATTTCAAGTCAATAATATATGATCTCTAGTGTCTAATTGAGAAGTCAACTTTTATGGAGGTACAATATTGTAAAAATAAATACACAGTAAATTAAATTGCAAATCATTTTTTATTCTATATATCTATGGTTCTCATATTATTCATCAGAAAAAAATTTAAAAAGAGAGATGGATAAAATGTCCCATATACTGCATAATTATATTTATATAAGTATATTTATATTTATATAACTTCGCATATTGTACATTGATGTATTAAAGTTAGTATTTTAGAGAATTGTAACACCGAAAACTTAACATTGATCTGTTTCAGATGGCAAGACAAAAGAAATCATTGTGAAAAGCAAATTTAACTCTGACAAATTAACAGCAAAAAATAGCACAACAAAAAGTCATCCTGTGCAAATCCCACCAAAACCTGTTGTTCACTTGCAGCGAGGGTCGCCATCTATTCCAACTATGCAAGCGCCCCCTATCCCACAAGAGGCATATATGAAATCTGATACTCTTCATGTTCATAATGTTGAAAATGTGACATTAAAAATAATCAAAGCTTCAGATATAACATTAGGTAAGACTTATTTGATTAACAAAATAGAATAGAGATCACATGTTTTAAAAATATGTGGACTTTTAATTTGTGAAAATTGTTGAGATACAATGTATATTGAATGAAAGTATTGTCAGTGACGATATTTATTGATACCTGTAGTTGCAACGTATGGAAAAAAGTGAATGGTAAACTAAAATTTTGGAGATTCTGAATTTGGTGTTACTCTCAAGAGGGATTACTTTTTTCAGGCCATGAGCTGGGGCAGGGAGAGTTTGGATCTGTATTGAGGGGTACTTGGAAGAGCCCCAAGGGTGAACGTGTAAGTAGTACATAATTCAGTCAATTTACCAGTGTATAGACATGTTACCATATTGCCATATCACTCCCTCATATTGTCACATTCTATCATTTTATCAAATCATTCTCTCATATTATTACATCGATATCTAATATTGTCACATATTTCTCTCATATTGTAATATTGTTGTCTAATATTGTCATATCATTCTCTTATTTTGTCATATCATTCTCTAATTTTGTCATATCATTCTCTCATTTTGTCATGTCATATCATTTTCTCATTTTGTCATATCATTTCTCTCATTTTGTCATATCATTTCTCTCATTTTGTCATATCATTTCTCTCATTTTGTCATATCATTCTCTTATTTTGTCATATCATTTCTCTCATTTTATCATATCATTCTCTCATATTGTCATATCATTTCTCTCATATTGTCACATCATTCTCTCATTTTGTCATATCATTTCTCTCATTTTGTCACATCATTCTCTCATTTTGTCATATCATTTCTCTCATTTTGTCATATCATTCTTTCATTTTGTCATATCATGCTCTTATTTTGTCATAGCATTCTCTCATTTTGTCATATCATTCTCTCATTTTGTCATATCATTTCTCTCATTTTATCATATCATTCTCTTATATTGTCATATCATTTCTCTCATATTGTCACATCATTCTCTCATTTTGTCATATCATTTCTCTCATTTTGTCATATCATTCTCTCATTTTGTCATATCATTTTGTCATATCATTCTCTCATTTTTTCATATCATTCCTCTCATTTTGTCATATCATTCTCTCATTTTGTCATATCATTTTGTCATATCATTCTCTCATTTTGTCATATCATTCCTCTCATTTTGTCATATCATTCTCTCATTTTGTCATATCATTCTCTCATTTTGTCATATCATTCTCTCATATTGTCATATCATTCTCTCATATTGTTATATCTGCAGATTGCAGTTGCAGTGAAGACTCTACATGAACACTGTGTACAGGCTGGTACAGAAGAGTTCAAGAGAGAGGCCAGTGTGATGATGGGATTGGATCACCCTTGTATTGTGCAGCTGATAGGTCTATGTCTGGGGCCTCCTATGATGCTGGTAGGTTATAGGCATCTGCATTTTTAATGCATTATAGTTGATAAATGCCACTGATCTATATGCATTGGGGTAATAACAACATTTTACTTAATTAAATACTGCTTAATAATTTTTCATTTTTTCTCATTCAACTTGGCTATATGAATGATTTAATTAAGCTGATTATTTTATTTCTGGTCCTACCTTTCTGCCTGCATTTATTGTTCAAATTGCCTAAAAACTTTCATTATTACTTAAAGTTCTTCATTCTTTGAAAGGGAAGTGGTAATATGCAATTTTCTTAATAAGCAGAAATTCCACGTGAGCACCATTAAAACAAATATTCCAATACATGAGCAATAAAATGAAAATGTATGATCACCCTTGAATATATCCTTTTATGTTCAAGGTTCAAGAACTCGTCACCAAGGGCTCCTTACTGGACTTCCTTCTGGACTATCCTGAAAAGATTAATGTTGAAACTGACCTATATCTTTGGGGGGCACAAATAGCCTGTGGAATGATGTATCTGGAGCGTAAACGTTTTGTGCACCGAGACCTGGCAACTAGAAACATATTGTTGGTGTCTAAGCAACAGGTATGTCTCAACTTGATGAATTATCGGTTGTATAAAGGTCAAGGTCATCATATGCAAATGAGGAGATAAGTCTTCTGTGTTTTACGTGAAAGAAAGCCCATGGTTTTGCTATCAAACATTAATTTTTACATGAAACCAACATTTCAGTTGAAGACAAATCTATAGCATACATGTACATTTTTGAGAATTGTTGTGTAGTTTAAAGAGAACATTGAACTATTAACAAGATCTTTAAAACATTTACTCAAAATGTATCTGAATACAGCTCAGAAATTCTGGAAAAAATACCACACTCAGACTATAAAGAATCTTTGCACTGAAATGACCTGTGTCTGTGATTTATTTCAAGGCCAAAATAAGTGATTTTGGACTCTCCCGTGCAATTGGAACAGGAAGTGACTACTACAAGGCATCTGCTGGGGGGAGATGGCCAGTCAAATGGTACGCCCCTGAATCTGTGAATTATGGAACATTTTCACATGCGAGTGATGTATGGAGCTATGGTGTTACTTTATGGGAAATGTTCAGCTTCGGAGAGCAGCCTTATGGAGATAGAACTGGTGCTCAGGTATGGGCAATATCATTGAAGTTCATGTTTGATATACATTGTAGAATTGACATAAAAGGAATTGAGTAAATTAACAGTGCTAATTTTCAAATGGCTTGACAGAAAAGTAGAAGAGATACATTCACTATTAAAAGGCCACGTTTTAAGTGTTGTAAAGCGTGTAATGAAATGTAAATGTAATCGATTCGCCTCAGTCGCATTTGATCTACAACATCTGTACAGTGGCCTTGCATCCCAAAATTTAGAGAAATATGCTGCATAAAATATAGGGTTTAGATGTAAGATATAGATTTTCTATATCGATTTTGTGTAGCTATGGCTGCCGTACACCTTCTGTAGAGCAAATATGAGTGAGGTTTAAGTGATGATCCATTGATATATTTCCATTTCCAGGTGATACAAATGATTGAACAAGGTGGACGTCTACATAGGCCCAAGAAATGTCTCCCTAAAGTGTATGAGTTAATGATGAGGTGTTGGTCGTACAAACCCTCAGACAGACCCACATTCCAAGAGCTTAACAGTCATTTCAGCTCTGAGCCGGAGTATGAATCAACCAGAGATTTAGTGTTTGGCAGATAAACAGTTATTTTACAATTGAACAATGCCATTGAAAGTGCAGGTTCTTAACCTCAACTGGACAGTATAGTGCAAGTGATTGACCTAGACTGGACAGTATAGTGCAAGTGATTGACCTAGACTGGACAGTATAGTGCAAGTGATTAACCGCTACTGGACAGTATAGTGCAAGTGATTGACCTCGACTGGACAGTATAGTGCAGGTGATTAATGTCAACTTGATAGTATAGTGCAGGTGATTAACCTCAACTGGACAGTATAGTGCAAGTGATTGACCTAGACTGGACAGTATAGTGCAGGTGATTAACCGCTACTGGACAGTATAGTGCAAGTGATTGACCTAGACTGGACAGTATAGTGCAGGTGATTAACCGCTACTGGACAGTATAGTGCAAGTGATTGACCTAGACTGGACAGTATAGTGCAGGTGATTAACCGCTACTGGACAGTATAGTGCAGGTGATTAATGTCAACTTGACAGTATAGTGCAGGTGATTCACCTCAATGGGACAGTTAAGTTGAAGTGATTAAACCTCAACTGGACAGTGTAATGTAGGTGATTGACCTCTGGGACAGTATAGTGCATCTCAACTGGAGGGAAAAGTGCAGTTGACCGAAGTCTTCCAAGGGATAATGCCTATAGCCTAAATGCAATACATTTTATATCAAGTGCAATTAAGACTGGACAGTTTTTTTGTTAATTTTAAGATTTTGACATCATAAGCCAACACACATAAACTACAGTCAAACTTGAAATAAGGAAAAAGGGTCAAATTAGGAAGGGGAAGGTGAAAAATCAAACAAATGAAAAAATTTTATTTATTGTTGTATTTCTATTAGGATTTTATATTATTATTCAATAGTATAAATACCGTGACACATACAAAAAAAGAGATTTATAAAGTGGCACTCCCATTGAGTTCACAATGAACTTTTTTATGAAGACAATACTGATGCTAAAATGCATGTAGTTTTCAGACTGGCCTTTCCATCCTATTTTGTTCTTTGAATTCAAAACAAATACGTCTAGATTAAAGGATTTAAGCCCAAGACAAGGGATCAGTGCATTGTTTGCTGAATCATACCATGAAGGTGTTGTTCCCAAACCTTTGCATGACTGCGCAGCGGGAATGCAAAGTTTAGGAAACAATGCCTGCATGAGTGGAATGAAGTATAGCTACAATGCATTGAGTCTTGGGCTTAATTTTTTTCACATTGCAAATTTTTTTTTTCAGTAAAATCATCTAAAAAAAATTCATCACCACGACAACTGTTTAACTAGTGACCTTGCATGTGTTATTGATATTTCACACACTGTTCATTATGTGAATACTCTGTTCGGATTGGCAGGAAAACCTTAATTCTAATAAATTAAAAAATGTTGCAAAAACACTAGTCTAGAAGTAATTAAGATTAAAACTATGTTACAGAGGCTAATTCTGAAAGAGATATTTGGAAATTCTGAAATTGAAACTGTTTTGGAAAAGTTGAGCACCATTCCCAATATCCTAGATGCGACTAGAAATAATTTTGATTTACGTCATTAAAATTCAGTCAAATTGATGTCATATTTGGAATTTACATGTAAAAATTAGATCTAGAAATCTGGTTTTGAAAAGAGTTTATCAACTTTGAAAATTTAATTTTCTTTGAAAATGTGACTTCTAGGCTGTAGGTCGGGGAGATTCCCCATAGACCCCATGCACAAAAAGTGAAATATTTTTTCTTGTTGGGCAGATAATATTTTCTTTTACTTGACATATTTTAATTTGTATATCTACAGTGTATCACATACATAATACATAAGGGTAATATGAAAAGTGAACCACTAAAACTGATGAATATTCAGGTTTAAGGGAAATTTGTAATACCCTGCCATGTTATTTCCCCCGAATCAGCCACCTGGTGGCGAAAATGGTAACTACCTACTCGCATCTGAGTAATTTAAATAGCACTACATTAACCCTGATGGCAGTCATAACTACTAATACCAAGATAGTCTTGTATCAGCATTACATGTATGTGACTCATTATACCACAAGTGTATCCAAGATTCATATATTTATATTTTATATATATATTTTATATATATCCTGAAATATAAAATATGCAGATAAACAACAAATGATTGTTTTGTAATATTGTTTGTAAATTAAAAGAATGAAGATTGTATATAGAATGGTGGAAAGAATCTTAAAAAGTATCTCAATGTTTACAAAAAAATGATTGAGATGTCAAGATTTAAGATGCAAATTAGCATTCAAAAAGGGACAGATATAACTTTCAAAACATCCTGAAAGAAAGGCATGATGTGGGATTTTGCTATAAACTATGAGTTCCGGGTTTTAGGATGAATAATACATGCCAATGAAACTTACCACATTTCAATGGTACAGAATTCCAGATTTGGAGTATTGCTTTGCGCTTCAATTACTCAGTCTTACTTTCAATCTCATGTCTGACAATATCCTCCATCCTTCCATGGGCTCTTACTACCAAATCCTTCATCAAATATGGGTCAGTTCAGTGCTCTTTCAGTATGGAAGGATGGATAATCCTCATCCTAAGCTATACACTATGCCAGGAATATGGGCTAATTGATGTGGTTATACCTTATGGGTAAAATAAAATAAATGGTTGCCATGGGAACAGTCTTGTCCTATCATAGAATAATCAAATTCAGTTTTTGAATGTTGCCCAATATGGTTTTGAGTTAATTTTTCAAACTCGTGTTTATGCACATAGTATAAGTGCTTATTTCAAATTCGAGCTTGCACACATAGTAGGACTTTCATCTAGAAACATGTCAACAAAATTTACATTTCAGCATTTAGAGGGAAAAAAGTTCAATTCTCTGGAGAATAAGGAGACACAAGATTTGTTAATGAAATGGTAAGTATATACAGCATGTCAGGGATAAATATTTATTAGCTTTGTTGTTGTTTTGTTGTTAAAAACAAGTTCCAAACTTAAGTTTTTGCGATTTTATTGTATTATCGCCCACCAAAAAAATGGATAAATAAAATCATTATAACTTTGCCAAAGGTTGAGCCATGCAAAGGTAATCACTAGTGTATGAATTTACAATTCTCTGTAGCTTTATAATCGCAAGGTATTCTGCATTGTTAAACAGCTCATTAGTGTGGACAGGTCCAACTTAGTGAGTTTGTGTAAAAAACGGGTAGCCGGGTAACTGGGTACTTAACGTTCCTAGCAGGGTTACCAACTTTCAAAATTTAACATTTTCCCTTAATACACAGATCCGGAGCCAGATCCACCCCCTGTTGGTAGTAGGCTCAAGGGATAAATGGGAAGATGAGACACGAGCCAAAAATGGCACATCAAAAAATGACCACCCAAAAATATGACCCTCGTACTGACCTTTATTTTTTCCATCTGTCAGACATTGATTGATCAATATTTACCCTGTAATCTCTTCTTTGTGTATTAGTTTGAATGGTTGCATGATATCCATTATTGACGCTGTAATTCAACTTTTCCCGGGACATTTATTTCAAATTTTCAGAGTGTAAAGATAATGGCGCACTTCGGTAGTTTCCGGCAGTGTCCGATGTTGTTCGTCTCTCAAATTATGTCACATCGCAACAAACAGCCAATGAAAGTAAAGAATCGCGTAGCCTAATAAACCGTTGTTATTGTTTCTACGGGAGTTTAAAGAAACGTCATGGGACTTCTCGGTAATCTCTGATGTGACGTCATCCAGAGTGGCGTCGCATTCTCAGAAAAGGCATTTGACTTCGGGAATAATCATTTGAACAACGGAGATAGCTGAAGTGCTCCATTAGATATACGCTCGCTTATTTTATGCTTTTATCAATAGACGCTTTCTTGGATGTTTGGCTTTAGTGATTGGAGTTGAAGCTAACAACAGTACGCATCGTTTGAGGTATGGCATGTGATATTTATTGATAAGCTCCCGAGTGTATTTGGTTGATTTTTCAAATCACCCCTGCAACTACTTGTGTGTTTAAATCTTGGCGTTGAAAATAAGTTAGATTAGTGGTTATTTAGATCATGGGCTTTCAATTAGAAGGGTATGTAACTAGTTTAATAACATGAGACCTTCAAAATGAGCAATGCCATGCTTCCCTTTTATGGTCATATTTCAAAAAGTATCAGATAAATGTATATATTTTAGTATTATTTTGAATAAAAATCAATTTTCGATTATGATTTAAGCATGAAATACATGTATATTCAATATCATGTAAAAGTAAACAAAAAAGACCAATAAGAATTAGAGGTATCAAGATGTTCCCTTTGAATATTGCATTGTGGGTAATTATTCAAGAACACATTCCAATAAAAACTTAATTTGTGGGAGAATGTTCACTTTCTGTATTGTCATAATTATGATGAATTCCATTTTTTATTAAATTATGAACATGTATGTAGATAATCATGTTTTTATTTTTGACTTATTTCTTTAAATCATCAATAAAAAGTACAAAATAAGATTTTCTTGGAAATGTGTACATTCTCCAATTTTGAAAACCAAGGCAATGCTTATGTGTGAAATATGGGAAGTTGCCTACCCTTCTAGTTGAAAGCCCATGTTTAGATAAAATTTAGCATTGTGTAGGGACACACTGAACAAAATAATTGCTGGCTGATGTGACAATGTCAAAAGTAAGATTGAACATGGGCTTTCAATTAGATCATAAAGAAAATAGGGTAACCCCACTTTCATAATTTGGCAAATTAACAAAACTAAGACCAGTCCCTCCTGTAAAGCTTCAAAAATCTGGTATAAAACTACAGTACTGTACATGTGCATTTTATATTTTCCAGGTCCATGAAGGGCAGAATCAAAGCACAATGTTTCACATTTGATCAACAGTTTCAGTCTTACGAGAAAGACACATTTGTTAAGGTACTGTAAGCTTAGTGAGTCCTTTGTGTGATGTAAGAATGTAAGTTTCCAGGAACATGTCATTTTTTGTCCAAATATGGTACTGAGACATAATGGCCAGAAGGCTGGATACAAGAGGGGGAGAAACCCCAGGGTTCAAAGATGACATACACTTATAATGTAAATCTGTATTGAGATGACATCGTCGCTGATTGGTTTAGCGAGTCGATCGTTGATTGGTTTAAAACTTAAGGTCAATTTGAAAACTTTGAAAACCAAGATGGAGGGAAGTATAAATATAGGTACTTCCGGGAAAGGAGGTGCGTGAAGGAGGAAATCGTATGTCATCCATTGAATCATGGGGTTTTCCCTCCTCTTGCTGGATACTAACTACATCAGTAATCCAAGTTGAACAAGAATTTGATATTGGATACTAATATTGAGACACTCAATTTGCTAAGATGTCTGTATTTATATTTGTAGGATTTCTTTAGTGACCCCATTGTTAAGTCATCTCTACAGGTTGTTTCTGGTAGTGGCTCCTGGGTTCCTATAGGTACAGTAATCTTAATTAAAAGACCACCTCATCTTATATCTATTACAAGACAAAGATGCTTGAGATCTTTGTTTTATCAGGCTTCCTTGGAAATACTAGGCATGTTCTGATACATTATTTTTTATACATCGAGTTGTTAGTTTTTATTGTCACCACCAGAAGTGATAACATTTTGTTATAGTCTCCAATTTTTTTGTGGATGGTGTCTGTTGGTCAGCGTTTGGAGTTTGACATCTGTAACAATAGATGGTGACATTTTGCATGTTAATGCCTTGTACTTTTATCTTTATAATGCTGATACACTTAAACTTACCTGAAGCTCTGTTCATGATATCTTTTACTGATCCTCGATGATCTAAAAAACACAAAGTTATTAAAAATATAATAGCACAAATATAGTATTGGTCAAAAAAGCAGATACTGCCATCTATATTTTCATTTATGTTTTTATTATTAAGGTATACAGCCTACAGGATTTGAGAGTGAGCTTGTGTCATGTAGTACTGTATCTCTGACATTCTTTGATCGCCTCTGGGAACATGACATTGTGAGAGAGAACAAACAGATACGCAAGTGTCTGGATGAGTACTATGAGGGAATACAGATCTCAGATGAACTTAGGAAGGTAATCATCTTTACTGGCTATATTTCATTCTCTGGGTATCCAACCAAATGATTTTTTTGACATTTCATAATTTTGTGCTATAAAGATATAATCATCTTGCATATAATGTTTTGGAATTTCTAAAAGAGATCGGAGTGGATTTGGCAAGGAATGAAGTAAACATTTTAAAAAGATGTTCATATAATGAAATTGGTAGGACAATTGACTCTGAAATAACAGACAAATTAAATGGGTTTATAAATAAGATCCATTGCCTCAAAACGTATAAATGCCAAATAGTATAATGATACATTCTTCAAATTCTAAGTTAGAAAGGGGAATTCAAGCATTAATAAACAGAGAGCAAAAGTCAGTTTAGTTTACAAATAAAACATAATTTCATCTTGAAAAAATGTTTATTATATCAGATATATTTGCATCCTGATAAGTGATCATATTGAGAAATTAAGGGTGACAGATGGAAGGCAAGAATTGATAAATATGAAGCAAGTATTGGTGATATTTCAGATGCTGCTATTGGAAGACTCTGACAATTATGATATATTCGATGAAAAAGAGCGGGAAGAATTTTTATTTCTGTTGTTCAAACACATCTGTATAGGTGGAGCTGTATGCCAATATGAAGATAGCGTCACACCATATAGACACAGCAAAACTTGTATATAAAGATCTCATAAGGTAGGGTTATACTTTATAGACTTGACCATAACTCCTTACACCATTCAATATTCATTTCAGTTGGACAATTCCAAATTATTTTGTTCCAACTTGTATTAAATGCATTGATTAAATAATTTTAGAAACTAATCTATTGATATCAAGAATTAATTTTGTTCTTTTCCTTGGTGAAAATATGATTTAAATGATATCATCCTAAGCTATTCCTTGGGACTATTATAATTGGTCAAATACAGACTTAAATCTCATTGACAGTCTTCTGATAAACTCTGTGCACTTTTCACTTCATTTCTTCATAAGTAAGCCACTTATAGTTATTGCTGTTTTCTTGATTTCCAGTGTTCAAAAAGACCAGAAGACAAACCAGATTGTAGTGACATCTATTATTCTAAAAGTTACTTTATCAGTAAGTATTAAAATGTAAAGATATCAATGCAGTCCTGTTGTTGGAAGACACAAGTCACAGATACTAGTTTTCTGCAAAAAATTCTGCAAGAAAAAAAGCAAATTCTGCAAGGAGAAAATCGAAATTCTGCACAAATTTTCAAAAAAAGTCCAAATTCTGCAATCTTTTAAAACGATGAAAATTGACGTAGCATGCAAGGGATTTAAACGGAAACGGAAGTCAGCTACTTTCTAGGTAAGAACTGCGCGTCATTAGCGAACTCGCTTTAGCGAATTTAAACGTGATAAAATGTTGAATTTCACAGTGAAATCGTACTTGTACTCAATAATGATTGATTGTTGGACATAAACAGACACTCTTCAAATACCCCGCAAAGGTAGGAGATCGTAAAATATGTAATTTCTGGAAATTCTGGTAATTCCGCGGGATCTTCATGAAAATCAGGGATTCTGCAAAAAATTGAAGTTTTGTCAAATTCCGTCCACGCCGCGGAATTACGGAATACTAGTATCTATGACAAGTAAATTCTTAAAACAAGAACAATATAAAAGATGAATTCAAAGATTTATGCTTGCAATGAGTTTATAAGTTGGTTCAAAAATGTCCGATTTTGGGAATTATCTTGCGTTCATCTTGGCTTCATCCAATTACGCAACAAATATTTTAAGTCTACTCCATCAGAAAATGTATCCATGGGCCAGTCTTATTTTCATGATTTTTGGCAATATTTTGAAAGTACAATAACTAAGTATACTGTTTTTTGTACATCTGCATGTATATGTATTTACTATACAATATTCAATACATTGATTTCATAACTTGATATTCTTATTCCCTTTTTTGTTCAACAAGATATATCTACAGAACTTCCAGTCGCTGAATACTTTTTGTCTAACCTTGAGCCAAATATATATCTGCTTTTGAATTCACGCCCTGAATATTATTTCCCTGAAAGGTGTTGTCCACATCCCTAAGATCTTATTATCTGCCCTTGGCCTTTGGCTTACTTGTGTACTATTAAAAAGATTATATTGTACATGTATAATTGTACATATAATAGGCTATAAGTGTATCATAAGCAGCTTTTGGTTTTGACCTGTATTTATCTTATCTTACAATCTGTCCCAGTAAAAATTATGATCCTATTTGTGTGTAAATATTGCTGTATAAGTAAAATTTAAAATGCACTTCATAAGCGAATTACAGCATAATCAATTTTCTCTCTGCAATTAATTGTACTTTTATTGGTATGTGACTCATTTATTGTTGGTTTCATAAGTTCATAATTTTATTCCCTCATAATATCTCTGAGTGTCCTCAATTACAAGTTCATAGATTTCCAATTTAGTTTTAGTGTGGGTGGAGCTAATCTACATAATCAAGGCATATTGGGTTAACTCTTTCACTGTAGTATATGGCAGCAGCATCCCATAAAATACCATTGAATACCTTTGAATATACTAGGAAGTTAAAGTGACATTTACTTTTAAAATATAAAACTCCCATAAAGAATGAACAAAGTACTAATTATGTAATATCAAGAAGACATTTAGAAATTCATTATGTCATCAAGGTTCTAGTAGGGTGATATAAAAGTACTGATTGGTTCATGTAAATTATGTGATTTGCAACAACACTTCAGTTTATGTATAATCATCACCAATTCTCATTTTAAAACAATCTGCAATACTCAGTTTTGTTGTAATCATCAACAATATTTCAGTTTATGTGTAATCATTAGCAATACTCATTTTAAAATAATCTAATACTCAGTTTAGTTAATATGGAATTTTCAGCAATATTTCAGTTTATGTGTAATCATTAGCAATACTCACTTTAAAATAATCTGCAATACTCAGTTTAGTTAATATGTAATTCTCAGCAATATTTCAGTTTATATGTAATCATCAGCAATACTCATTTTAAAATAATCTAATACTCAGTTTAGTTAATATGGAATTTTCAGCAATGTTGCTGTTTATATGTAATCATCAGCAATGGGTACAATGTCAAATGTCAGCATACTAACAGCACTTTTACGTCTATTTTCAAATCGCTTGGCTCTCATCTGCGCCAGGACATCTAAGTCCATTATGTCATCATTCATGTTGTCATCTGTATTGTTAGGAGGAGTATGTACTATTGTTGGATTGTTCACTTCTGCATCTTCATGAATGTCATCTTCACCATTCACTTCCTTTTCGTGTGTTATTTCTTGAATTTTTTTAAAAATGACCAAAAGAAAGATGGCTGATATTATGTGTGTTGCCATAGCGATGAGAAGTATTGTTGATGCTAAACCTTTATTTTTGTCATATGCTCTGTCAATTGATGCTTGAAGGCTTCTTGCACAGACTTCAATGTCCTCATCAGTCACTAAGGGATCTGCATCATTGTAATCAGAGTATTTTATGGCATCATATAGTGATTTTGTAATGTCTCCAGATTTCATTTTCTCAGTCAAGTTTGTATCAACGGATGTTATATTATCCAAAAGAAAATCACATAGTGGATGGTCTTTAGCGATTTTTTGCCAGCAGTCAGATTCGATGTTAAATCCCCCATGTGGCACCGGTGATGTATGTACACCAACATATGTGTCTTTGATATCCTTTAAGATTTCATCTGTTATATTCTGCTGTTTGCCTAACCTTATATACAATGCTAAACCCAATTCAGTTAGGCCCAACATTATGAGAAGGACTCCTAATGAACGTGGACTCCTGAAACAAATTGTCCCCAATATACAGAGTAGCCCGATGCAGCCAGTAAAGCTTGGCATAGCGATTGGCATGCAGGGATCACTACGGAATGAACAGATGTAGTCCTGGATGCCTGCCCGACATTGCATACAAAAATCAATCCCTAAGTAGATCATGATAGCTCCCCATATTGTTAGAATAAAAACCACAATGAATGCAGCTCCTTGAAATGTAGGTGATTTGAAGAGTTTATTTGAAATGAAATCTCTCATATCGGTGCAGCAAAGTCGCCAGTCTTTCCATTTGTTCGGTTTATCTTCCTCTTCATCCATTTTGACATACTTGAACAAATTCTTTGTAAAAATTAGGATTACTTTAATTTAAATTCTGTCTCCTTTGTAATGTTCTCATCAGGTTTGCTGTGTATATGTAATTGTTTATAAGTATTTGAATTCCATGCATTATATTGACCTGCCAACTACTCTGTACATGCAGTTATCTTTACTCAATCTGAAATGTTCATATTACATGTGCCCTGCTCTGTCACTTTTTGATTGCATGTGCAATGAAGTCTATCAGATTTGATCTAAACAGTCACTGTAATTATACCTCTTATGTAAATGTTTTAAACTATTTTATGCTATCTTGTTACACTGATTGCAAGCTTAATTTGTAATTATCAGCTCTGCCGATTAAATCCAAATGGTAAATTCAGTAATAATCCATGCTTTACAAAAGTGTTTTTTCAAATATGTCTATAGTCATTTCTTTGGATTTTTATCGTACATGTATTTCTTATTGTCTTCCAGTTTAATGGGCTTTGTTTTAGTTCATACTAGAATATTATATTTTGAATTTTTGTAAATTTTGTTGTCATATTATGCCATCCATACGATTTTCAATATACCAAGATTTTGTTTTATTCAAACATACACTTTAATACCTTTACTGTGAGAATAAACTCACTGATCAAGTATATCTCCAATAGTCCAAGTGTCCTTTATCATGATGGCACTTGTGGTTTACTAGTACTTGTTGATACTATCATGTTCAATGCCCATAAAACATTGGTCAATATACAAGAGGTATTTACCCATAAGTCACTGAGCCAAGGTTTAACTTCAGATTTTTGTATGTCCTCCAAAAATGTTAATGAGTTTTCTTGGGATTTTGAATATTTCTTAGTGTTGTACCTTAGAGAAAGCTTACAATTCATAATATATTATATTATGTGTGCCTCAATCTCAGAAACTGAAGAACATTTGTTTTGACCATAGATTATGGTCGTAATAATGTGTCCATGGATATCCATCCTTGCACACTCAGTCGTTCACTGCATTTTGCATTCAACTGACTGGAGGCAAGTGAACAAAGTAGTATGACAGAATTTAAAAAAAAAAAACAAAATCTTCATGTGGTCAGATATGTACTTGTAATGAATCCAAATGACACTAATGACACTAAAGATAAATAAAAATAATCAGTGAGTATTTGATCCCCGGGGGGTTCACTGTATATAAAACTTGACGGGGGTCCTAGGCTGAAGCCTCAAATATCAATATGTTCCCATACCAATCTGTCAAATTTCAATATGTTCCCATACCAACCAAAATGATGCCCAAAGGCCATACCAAATGTCCAAATATAGGACCAATGCCACCAAATGTCCAAATATAGGACCAATGCCATACCAAATGCCCAAATATGGGACCAATGCCATACCAAATGTCAAAATGTAGGACCAATGCCATACCAAATGTCCAAATAGGGGACCAATGCCATACCTTAATTCAAAGTAAATGAAATATAGGATCAATGTCATACAAATTTGGAACGACTGGACCAATGCCATACCACGAATGTTAGGTAACGTATCTACAACGACCATTCTCATACCAGAAGAGCAAAAGTCCGACCATTGCCATACCTCAGAAGTCAGAAATTTCCGGGCATTCCCATACCAAATCCTAAAATATGGTTCCATTGCCATACCAAACGTTGAAAAAGGTACCCCACATGCGCCGAGGATCCCCGTCAAGGTTTATATATAGTGAACCCCCCGGGATTTGATCTGATGCACTAGAGCTGTATTATCCTCATATCAAAGATCATCCTTATTTGCTTGGTTAGTAATGGTTACCATCTCCACTCAACTGTTAAATTCAGATTTAAATGAAGGAAAGTGAGGACAATTTTATGAATATGTTAATTGGCTCATTAAGGTAATATACTGTATACTGTATGGGTATACTTAATTATAAATTGGTGAAACAGCTTCAGAAGTTATCCTGGCTGGCTAACCTTAAAAATGTCTATACAGTAGTTTGTTGGACCAAGCAAGATCTTTCTACTAATTACAATGTACTCAGTCATACTAAAAACATTGTTTAAATTGTGCATACATGACTTTTCTCTTCCATAATAACCATTCTTCATCCTAGGTTGAAATGTTGAATTAGTTTCTATATCAATGTATTTACCAAATCTTAGGATTAGAAATGTAATAAAAATAAAGGGCAAAATTCAGTTGATTTTATCTAGATTCGTAACAGGGAATTTGACTTGTATGTATTTATCATAAAATATAGAGACTGTTACAATTTCGGACTACAGTACATTGTACTTGAAAACTGGAGGAGACATCATAAAATTATATATGAATAATTGAGAGGAGAACTTTCTTTTATATATGATTGTCCATGTGACTTTATCAGCTTCGTAGATTAGAATTTGGTTGCAAGTAAAGTGCATGTACCAGGTCGTTCAATAAGTTCATGGAAAAATGCTCTTTTTAGAATTCAATGAATTCCAAATTAAAATAGCCTCTCTATCTGTAGTAATTTTTGATTAAAAATTTTGTTCAGCAAAATTAAGATTTAAACATAATCAGGCCCCTTTAACATGCCATCCAATTAGGACTTCCAGTGGCCAAACTTAAATTAGGGATGTACATTCAACCCAGCTATAACTGACTAGAAAGTAACATCTTTACCCATTTACTTCCAGGATGACAATGGCCCATTCTTCCCTGCAGATGAGGAGCATGTGCAGAACTTTGCCTACCTTATAGTGGACCCAATACTTAGACATGTAACCACATTTTATCATAAATTTGGCAGTGGGGATCTCTCATAACACAGGCATTAAAGGGACATGGGGCTAGAACAATGGCCTAAAAGCTAGGGTTCAAGAGACACAAGCCCTAAGAGGACTTGCTCTTGGACCTTAAAGGAACTTGTTGCTACAAGACAGACATTAAAGGGATTTGGTGTTAGAACGCTGGCCTAAGAGAGACTTGAAACTCAAGCCTTAAAGGGGCTTACTCTTAGAACACAGGCCTAAAGGAATTTACTGATACAACACAGATCTCAAAAATTATATTGATACATTAGTTTCAAGTTATCAAGTCATATAATTTATGTAAGCATAATCCAAAAAAGATTTGGAAGTTTAGAAACTTTTTTTTATTTCCAATGTGGCTAGCTACATAGAGAATAATGTACACAAAGCCAAGAAAATGCTCAAGAAATCGTTCATATGTTGTTGTTTTACTTGAATGTTTTATTTACATGACAATGCTGTGTTAAAGATGAAGCTGAAGTAGCTTTTATCACAGCTGCCATCTTCTACATGTAAATATTATCTTACAGTATGATTGTTTTATGCTACTACATGTATTTTATAAAGTGTACATGTTACATCTAGTAAATAAAATGTTAATACTCTATTTGAAGGGTTATACCCAAGTGGAAAACCCCTAAAAATCTATTATTTAAGGTTATTTAAAGTTTGTTGAGTCCATAGGATAATTTGAAGTAACAAGCGTAAAATGTCATGGAAAAGGCATTGAACAATACTTTAAAATCAACTATGCATGCTATTTCCACTTTTCAGCTAGTCATACAAATCTTAGGGAAATTGAGAAAGGATTGTTATCGATATGCAGAACTGAATTCAACTATGTTTTTCTCTTAAACCAATCATTGAAAACATTCTTTAAAAAACACGGTCCTTTGTGTAATGATCACTGATTGACAAAAATTTAATGCAAAAATTATTTTAAAAAACTGTTTTTGTTAACATTTTTTGTTCTTTTCTACCAATTCTTGAGAATGAAATAAAATATCTTTCTGAACCTTGTTGAAACAAAATAGCGTAGACAACATTTAACAAAAAGTATTCCAAAACCACTAAAATAGATAAAAATTAAAGTATACACCTTTTATTTCATTAACAAGATACTTTTTTAAATCAACCAAACTTTCCTTTGTACAATTACAATATTGAGAGACCTAAACTCATTGTGTATATGTCATTTTGTTCCAATGATGCTTTGGATAGATGTTTTGTTTCATTCCGAACATATGATGCCAAAAAAATTTGCTGGTGTGTTTTCTAAAACAATATAGAGAAAAGTATATAGGTAGATATATTTTTCAAATTAAACTGTTACCATTCAAAAGATGATCATCAGATTGATGATGTGTAACATTTTCATTTTTGATGACTGGTTTAAGAGAAACATATGTTCAATTCAGTTCGCCATATCAATCCTTTTGATTTATAAGAACATTGATGACTGAATATTAGCTGTATAAATAATAAATTATATTAAAAATAATATTCAACTTTGTCGAATATAAGTCTAGTTATCACATATTTTATACATACTATATAAAATAGCAGGGCAAGCTAACAAGCTTATACATCTATGGGACATCATTTTGGTGAGGCAAATTAAAGGTGTAGCTTCTTATATACAATATAATAACATTTGAGCCTCGCCATAGGAAAACCGGTCTCATCACAAAAATTAAAATTGTGCTACGGAGTCAAAAATGTGCCCAAGATTAAGAGGAAAATGTGCTAAACTCAAATTCGACTTTTTGGTTAATGTATACTAGGAAAAATTGTTGTGACATAGGCCATGGCTCATTTGAAAGGTCTCTTTGTGCTTTTTGAGATATAAAGACAAAAAATCAGAATATTGAAAAAATCTGTGATAAGACCCTTTTTCCTGTGGCCTGGCTCATTTACATCATAAATCAAACAATAACTAATTGAAATGATTACCAGTGTTTTAGATACAGTAAAACCTGTAAATCAGATCATCTCTTTAATGGGACTTGACTCTATCAGTGGAACACTTTTACCTATTACCTTAATGTAAGACAAACACCTCCAAAGTGGAACACTATTTTGAGGCAACTGAGGTGTTCCATTTAGACAGGTTCTACTGTACATGTATCATGAAACAGGGATTAACTCTGGCATAAATGTACAAACAATACATTCATTCATATAAAGGTAAGCAGAGTAGAACAATTATGACAATTGTGTGATTTCCATTATGTGTTTACACTTTCTCATTCTACTCAGCTAGCCTTAAACAAATGGGTCACTTGGAATTAGAATATTACATTCCATGTACGTAGATTAGGTGAAATTTCTACTAAGTATTTAAAGTTGGCTTATCCTTATTAGCTACAGCATTCATTGATTCATAAAGACTTTTCATGTTGCGCCTCATCATCTTAAAATGTTTCACATATGTTGGAAGATCCAGCAAAAATACAAACCCCAAGAAAATAACAATAATCAACATGGCGGTCATCCCCACGGCAACAGCAGAGATTCGCTTGTCAGATTCTGACCATGAAGTCTCTGGCTCTGATTTGAGCCTGTCTGCTGGTCCAGGCCATGGTAGAGTCGTTGTGTGTGTCTTAAGAAAGATTATCAATGGTGTAGCTTCAGTATGGGTTGAGTTTAGCTCAGTGGAATTAGCTGATGTGTTTAGAGACGCCTGTGTTATATTATATGATATTTCAGAGGTAGTGCTCATTATGTCAGACTTGTTAACTGTATTTTCTAAAATGTATGATTGTATCCTATACTCAGTTGAATTTATTGTCGCATCTGTTGAAATATATGACACTGAAGTCTGCTCAGTTGACTGTTTAATAATTGATTCCTCAGTCGAGACTTCAGTTGACTGTTTAATGGGTTCTTCAGTAGACACTTCAGTTGACTGTTTGGCAGTTGACTGCTCAATGGGTTCTTTTTTTGATTGCTCAGTTAACTGTTGAGTTGACTGCTCAGTGGACTGTACCACTGGTGATGTCATAATGGTTGTTGTCTGTGGCCTTTGTGATGTCACAGTGGAAGCTGCATGTGTTTCCATATCAGTTGTCTGAGTTGTTACAATGGTTGTATCTGCTATGTATGTTGTGGTTTCTGTTGTGTATTGTTCAGTTGTGACTTCTGGAATATGTAAAGCAGAAAGATTTGCAATATCTAGTAACACATTGATTTTGTATTCTGAATTATATCCAAACACTGTGGGGACAAAAATGTTAAAGGCTCATCTCTTGGAAAATGTAACTTGGAAGCCATTTCAAATTGCATTATTCATTGTCATGAGAAATAGTCAATCTCGAATTACTACTTGGATGATACATGTGCTTTCTCATGAAAGTCCATGTATGATATAATAATTAGTGAACATACAAAATGTAGATACATCTGGCTTACTAACTTGAACCTAAGCAGGACTGATCAAAGCAACACAATTTCAGAGTTTTGTTCCAGTGGCGGATTTGGGGCCTCAAAAAATTGGCATAATTTGGCCTTTTTAGACCAATTATCAAAAATGGGCCATAATTTTTCAAAATTTGGGCAAATTTTTGGTTTTAGGGGCCCAAATTTTTTTCCAGACTCAAAATCCCCCCTCCCCCCTTGTTAATTTCTGGATCCGCCACTGCATTCCTCTTACTCCATGTCATGTGTACTTTTTATATTTTATTTAACATAATTTCTCCCATTTTCAGAAAAAATGATTAAGATTTGAAGGAAAACGTTCACATGTTTTGAAAAGATGCTTTTGAATTGTGAATGAAGAGGATAAACATTTGATTCCTCATTTTACAGACTTAGGTGCAAATATGATAGAAACAGATTTTCAATAGTGTGCATAAAATAAGAAACCCTTCCCTGGGAGTCCTTCGATTGGACATAAAACTCACAATCGTTACCATTCACAATTAAACTTAGAGAAACCCATTTAGCACATTATATCCAAACACCTGTCTAACATGCTAATTTGAACATTTTTTGATCCTGTCTATTTCTCATTAATTCCCATGTTTTTAAAAAATAAGAAATCTGATCATCTCTCAATCTAACAATGAAAATGAACCTGTATAATGGGAATATTTTTCCTGATATTTTTCATAAGACATCACATGTACAAAATCGCTTAAATCATTTTATTTTTTATTAATCCCTGCTCAGGTAATCAAAATGTCAAAGTATAACACAAGCATGTTTTTTGATAAATTATTCTCAAGGGATGTTTATTTAGAATAGTCTGAAATCTTTATGTAAGGCTCTTAAAGAATTAAAGGAAACAGGATGTGTGTCTGATGAGATAAAAGGAAACTAATTGTACGAAATCATTCAATTGAATGGGTGTTATAAGTAAAGTCCATATTTGTTTTTACTTTTTGAACAGTATACGGACGAGAAAAGTGTATCTATGGAAAATGTTTATTTCATATTATTGATATGCAACAAAGTTTTTTATAAATGTTTTCAATTTTCCTCAAAATCCAAAATTTGATCAAGTGCTAAAAAACTTGAAATGTGGAGAACACTTGTCATCAGACTGAACGCTTGCTAATCTGAACACTTTAATATCCCAGTGGCGTTTGGATTAGACGGGTTTTACTGTAATACAATAAAGGGATGCCTATATAGCATTGCCTGAAATCTAGATATATGACTTCAGAATTAAAAAAATGGGATGTGTCTGATCAGCTAAAAATAAAATAAAGACCCTTGAAATGTGAACACCTACTAATCCGAAAGCTTTTAATAGGCTGTCCCAGTGGCGTTTGGATGAGACGGGTTTTACTTTAATTAATACATTCTAAAGTTATGTTTATATAGCATTGCCTGAAATCTAAATATACGACTTCAGAATTAAAGAAAAATGGGATGTGTCTGATGAGCTAAAAATAAAATAAAAACCCTTGAAATGTGAACTCTTGCTAATCTGAACGCTTTTAATAGACTGTCCCAGTGCTGTTTAGATTAGACATGTTTTACTGTAATACATTCCACATCTAATCTCTTACCCTTTTGTGTCTTATCATACATGTGTGTATATTCTCTAGCAACAACACTCTGGCAGGACTCATTCTTCAGCCAGCACTTCGGGGCCAGCATGACACCGTTGACGATCCGCTCATAACGTGTGAACATGAAGCCCACACATGACTCAAGCTCATCACAGAGCTGCTGGCATTCTTCAAGTCCAGGATCGACAGTTTTCAGATCACCCCCTTCGCAATAACCACTACGAACTTTATATTCGAATTCTGGAAAATGTTGCAGTTGCACATGTTAATTCATTCCCGGGGCATGATTATCATCCGGGTTTTTATTAATCACGTTAATAAATATAGAGGAACAGTCCATTTCTTTAATTGCTTTCGACCGATTTTAACTAGGAGCATCCTGTTTTGTGAAGAGTCGAGGTTTAATATTCCTAGCTCATTAATATATTAATTGTTATATAATTATTAAAATTACACTTCGCTTCTTAAAAGAGAGATTCATATACACTTAATGTAATTATAAACAATAATATATTTGAATTATTATATAACGCCGTAATATGAAACATGAAATGGAAATAAAATGGATCACACTTGTTGCAGTGTAACAGAAACATATCCTGTTAGCCAATTCGAAGAACTTCTTAAACAAGACATTCTTAAACAAGAATTCATAAGTTCTATTCCGTAAAAATATAAAAACAAATGGCCAAAAATGGAAAAAACATTTGAAGCAGACATTAACCTTTACGTGGTAGATGATCAATTATTCAGATGATTTATAAAATCACACCGTTTCATGGGACTTTATCGTCGCTAATTCTGTGCATGTTTGTCTGAATTTGGGATAATTTACAAAGACAACGGCATGTGGTAAATTATTTAAAATTCAGATTCCGTTGTCATTGACGATATCGAGGACGCTATATTGTGGAGATTCACGACCCAATTTGATCGAAATTGGGATTTCATATGATACATCATCACAAGAGCTTAATATAACAAGTACAAAATTACATGAAACGAGGACCAAGTGATTGAAGAGTTGAAGCGACGGTTATGTTCGCCATTTAATTTGTGACAACGGTATCTGACTTTACCGTTTTCAGACTATTCCGTTGTGAAAATGATGATCAATACTTTAAACATACATCACATTTTAAATGAAAGGACTTCCCTCCAATCGTATGATATCTGTTGTCGATAACATTGTAACGCTTCAATAAAATACAAATAATTATAGTCATCGAGAGGAAACGATGAATTGAGCTAACTCTTATTTCAATTAGATTTAGTAGATATACGTTTCCATGACAATAAACGTATCTTGCACATCTACCTGTCATTGTTTGTTTTACATACATGTGTGTTAAATGACGTTTATTAAGTGTTTTTAACACGATCTTACTTGAATCTGTCGTGAGATGAATCCCCCATGTGTCCATGTAGTTTTCCGGGTCTTTATCGCTTGTAACAATTACACCTTTTTGCTTCATATTTCCGCATGGGATATTCTGCTTTAGATGTAGAACTAGGGTGCCATTTGTTTTAATATGCACCATTCTAAGCATGGTGGACTCGTAGATGCCCATACCTTGCCTGTGGGAAACAGACACCAATCGCCATTTTATGAAATCGCTATCATTATCACATTCGATTAAGATGAGAGATGGGTCCAAGCATTTGCCCAAATAAGACGGCTTGCTGTTAAAGACACGCACAAACATATTCTCGAGAATAACTATATCTCCAGATCGTATCACATGACTCGAATTTTGGTTGAATATCCGCCACTTTGTAACGCCACGGGTCCGGGTTGTTTTGTCTTTGATGGCTAGGACATCTGTTGTGCTCTGGTCGTCGTTACACTTCCCCCCGTCTCCACATTTGTTCAGCCAGAATATGTCTTTTTTAATCTTTATACTGCGGAATTCGACAACACTTCCAGAGGTGATGAAACCTGCGGATAATATAATAAAAGCATTAAATGATGCGAGCACTGCTATAAAACTCCTTTTTAGGATCATCCCCATATCATTAAAATCACAAACGTCTCTGTCTTCGTCTTCATTAAATCTAGTTTGTTGACTGGGATGCGTTTTGCGTCTATCGTATATTAATAAGAGTGGATAGATAATAGGCTCTGCTCAATGGATGGATTTTAAATGCCCTGACATTAATCTAAGTTGGCAATGAATTAACTGTCATCACGCTTTAAAATCCCAGCACTAGTATTCTTGAAGTCGGACACTAATGCATCACTTAACATATCGAGAATGAATGATGTATCCTTGTCGGTAATAGCTTTGAAAGATAATGATTATCAACGTTGCTAATCGGTTTATCGATGCAATATATTAGGAACATCAAACTATTTCATAGTTCTTATCCGACAAGAGTCTCTCGGAAAGTAATTGAATTGCGTCCCTGTTTTTACGACTCCTACACTAACTTAGGGGGCCTAGAACTCAGAACCCTGGAGAAGCGAGTGGGTTTTTAACCGCCCCATGTCATCGTTGACGTTTCCACATGGAAATGCCTCATATTCCGAGATATTTTCCTCTTATTTTTACCTGAGACTAACATAAAATTTATGTTAGTCTCAGTTTTTCCTGGCTGTGTGGGTGGCTGTGATTATTTACATTTCAAATTGACGACTACATACATATTTACTTGAATCTAAATAAATCATGGTCAAATCAATTCTTTTTCAGTCTACGTATTTTATATTTTGATATCTATCCGTGGAACGATATTAAACCTTTTTGTTATTTACCTATAATCTGTACAGTACATAATATGTAGTATAACGAAGACACCTTGTATCTATTTTTAGTGAAAATTTCATAGTGTTTAGATTTGGTTTCATTATTTATATGAATGAATATTTTCAAGAATTTTGAACACAATATTTTTAGAACCATTTTAGCTCATGATTGCCCTAAGCGCACTGTCTAGTTCAGTTATGAACTAGCATCGGACGAATGGAAAGGGTAGCTCACAATAGCCGTCATCATTTATAAAACAAAATATATATTTGCAGTGCTCAAAAACTACTTGACAAGTTTTTTTATCAAATTATAAATATTCGTCAAGTTTTTTAAATATTCAGTGGTATTAAGTAAGCATCGTGTCTTTGATGATAAAATATAAATTCTAAAATATGCTAATCTCAAGTGATAATTGTCTGGAAGATGAAAACGTGCAATCACTCTTGGAGAACATTTTAATTGCAATTATGACATAATCATCATGTCATTGTGACATAGTCTGTAGTATTTACAATTTGTAGGACATCTAATCAGCTAATTAAGTCCTACAAAATTATTGTAATTAAGCCCTGGAATATATCATGGAGCATATACTGTACTAAGAATAACGCCCATGGGCTTTTATTTCAGAATGTGAGATTAGCGAGGCAACTTAACTATATATTCGACCTATCCTAGACCTTCATTTTCGTATTAACCCAGGCCTTTCCTTGACTGCACTTTCATGTTAAATGAACCCTGTAAAGATTTCTGTATCCCTGTATATAACTAATAGGAACTACATTCCGAATGGAATGGAATGGTTTGTATATTGTTTTGAATCCGTAAATTACGAAATAAAATCTCCAATTTTGTAATTTTATTCTCCCTTGATGCGTTTTGTATCCTTTGTTTTCAGAGTTTTTCTTGACTTTGTTCACCTGCTTCAATATTTCATTTCAAATTAACTATTTTCAATTCAATTGCTCTTACATTTTGTTTTCTGTTGAAGCGGTTTCTGCGATATTTCAATATATATACTGATATACCACAGGTGGTGACATATTATATAGTCTGAACATTTTTGTGGACGGTGTTCGGGGGTAGCAGCCGGCGTCTGTGGAAAATGGCAGGTGGTGACATTTTGCATGTTAATGCCTTGTTTTTCATTGCTAGTTCCGCTACAAAATAAGCAGCTTTCATTGCATGATAATTCTAGTACAAATGTCTACGAAGGTTTCAAATATCAATGACGACGTTTCTCACCACACGTCAAGATACAGTGGTCTTTATCACTGGGGATTTACTTCACGTCCATGGTTTTATAACTACGGCATACAACATACGTATTGCATTGTTTTAAGTAGATAGGAAGACAACCTTGGATTAAATTGGGCTTAGCAGCGTTTCACTGAGAAAGCGAACGAGGATTAAAACGTCTATTTATGAAAAATAGCGCGAATTTTTTCACATACGAGGCTTGTCCCAGAAGTAATGCACTATATGCTCTAACTTTATCAATGATTGATATTTTTCCATGAACTTTTCAGTAAATGTTCCTCAGAGACATTTTGATTATTCTACAAATTTTCATGTTGACTGATAAAACAATATTGATGTTATAATAAAATCAAGTTGGTGAGTTTGGGTAGGGTGGGGCAGGTTATACAGTCACGTCAAAAGGAATAAAAAATTGAAAATATGAAATAATTAATCAACAAATACCATTTTGTGTAGCTTTAAGAAGTATGCCCAAAAATACGTTTTAAGATACTAAATTACAATGAGCACATCTTATAGATTTAATGGATGTATATTGCACAGTGTCCCATTTCACATTTTCTCAAAATATTTCCCTTTGCATGCATGACATGTTATGTACTTTTGATGCCTGTCAGGTCAAACACTCTTGGTAATCTCCTCCACCGTGACTTGTGGAGTTTTTGCCTCCCATGTTTGGAGTTGTCATCTAGGGTCAAGTCATCTCTTTTAAATCTCTTCTGCCACCTCATGATTGTAGTCCTATCTGGTATATACTCCTTATATACTTTCTTCATGGTAGCATAAGTTTTGCGTGACTGTAAGTCCAAGTGAAGCATGAAATTAGGCCACCAAACGCAAGGCCTTCTGTTATCAGGTGAGAATTGCAGTCGTTTTTGCAATTTTTTTACTGTGACTGTATTTGAATTTGTGACTATTGAACTGTGATATTATGACAACACAGTGATAAATGTCATTATTTGTACTTGTTTAACATCATGCTGAATAAATTTAACAATTTCCCAAACATTTTGATCATTTAAAAGAAAGACATATTAATAAAATAACACTTTGGATCTTTTCATGATTAGAAAATTTGGTACCTGCCCCGCCCAACCCTACCCCCATGTTGCTATAGCAACCATATTAATACTTAATATTCATGTTGGATGCTGAAACTTAAGGATATAATAGATAAAACTTCAATTGTTATATACACAAAATTTCAGCTGAATTGAAGAATATTGAAGCAAGTTAGAGCATATAGTGCATTACTTCTGGGACAACCTTCGTACATGTATAACAATAAAATGTGACGAGATAAATCTTCTAAATCTAGCTGTTTTAAACTGTAACTTTTGAAAAAATAAAATTGATGCTATGATAAAGATACAACGTTTTCTAAACAATTATATGAAGTTGTTTTTATTTAGGTCATTTTATTGCAAATTATCAGTCCAAAATACAAATTCAAGTAGTTGCTGTACTTTCAGTTTAATAGCCACGTTTAATACACAACTTACATTTAGGCACAGTACATGTAATGTATATAATTTGATAACAGATCTTTAAAGGAATATTCCTTGCCAGACCCTTTCTCTCTTGATATGGTAGCTATAATCATATATATAGTTTCCATATTTAGCAAAACATGGGAAAATGTTTTAATATGGTCAATATTGATCATTTAAAAATCTAGTGCTTATTTCCAGTGAGCTGCCATCTTTAAGATTTCTTGCAGGAAGTGATGTCATCAACTCTCAACTTCTATAACCTTGCCCATAACAGTATAGGAAAGTAGCACAAAATCACTTCTAGACAAGTGATCATTACTTTCTGTGCAAAAATATTTTCAGGGCTTGGCAACTCAGAATAAAAGAAGGGATTTTCAGAAGGATTAAATAAGATACAAAGTTGAAAAAGAATATTTAGCTGGTTTTGTAATTCTTAATAGCTCCTCACCTAATGCTATATGCAAAGTTGAGAGTCGATGACATCACTTCCTGTGTGAAATTTTAAAAGATGGCAGCTTACTGGAATTGAGCATCACATTTCTAAGTGATCAAATTTGACCATATCAAAATATTTTTGCGTGTTTTGCTAAACATGGCAAGCATATATATGGTTATAGCTACCATATGAGGAGAGAGATGGTTTGGCAAGGAATATTCCTTTAAAGAGTAAAAGGAAAGAATTATATGAAGTTAATCAACATAAACGACTTGTGGACCTGTCTATGCATTAATTCATATTACATTTCATTCTATTCGTCCAATCTAATTCCCCAAGTGAGAAAAAAGTAGCGGAAATATGAAAACAATGTTGTTTTTGAAAAACACAATCAATGCACCGTTATCATGATAGAGCATTAAATGTAGCACGAAATGTGTTTCATAATTCTTGAAAAGATCAAGGCAGAACTTACGCTTGATACTTTTCAAGGTATCAGTTCGTGATCTTTTGTGAGCCATCTTTTAAAAGGAAAACATCCAATATCATTAGTTATCTGCTTAATACGATCGTTAGTGAAGTAACATTTTTTCTATAAGATGTTACAATCTATTAGGAGATGTATGATAATCTGAATATAGTTCAGCGATTATGGTACATGGCCATCGTGCCTATTAAATGAGCCAGAAAGCCTCGAGCTAGCTATATGTACATTATGGGCGTAGCCGGTATCTATACTTAAGTGAGGCTAATTTAAATAGGTGAGGCAAATCTATACAGGCGAGACAAATATGAGGTAAAGGCAATATAATAAGATATGGTTAGACTTATTTTCACATTTTCTAATCTTATTTTTCTGTAATTTGTGATGAGAGAGTTGTCTCGTCTCATGCCTGGCTACGCCCATCATTAGCATTCAGAGAATCATTGTGCTGTTGAGATTTCGGAATTCTTTGATTGAGATATTTGTAAAGGTAAAATGTAAGTGACTGCTATAATATAAAGTGGGCGCAATGATAATTTACCATCGTGAGAAACAATGGTCTTCTATTAGTTTCTTTCTAGCATATTTCTCAAATTGAAGACAGAAATGTTATGAGTATCAGAATTTAGAATGATAATCTACCAGTGAGTAGTTGCACTAATATCAGACGCTGTAGATCTATAGAACATTGGATAATGTTTGCTGAAATATTGGTTAATAAAAAGCCGTATCTCCTGTTTTATCACATTTGTATAATTTTGCATTACAGTTCAATTGAGATGGACAGATATAAATCAGAGAAAATAACAAGGTGGTTCTCCTCATGGCCGGCTTAGATAAGGAAGACGCATTGTATTGATTCGTTATTTATCGGCCAAATTGTTATATTGTCTGCCCTGTGGATCATTCATATAGAATGGTTTTAGATTTATAAAGGGTTTGCCGCAAAACGTTCGCCAGTTGGGATACAATCATGTTCGATGCCTCTAATGTTAATTTCGGGCATCGTAAGTATTTTACACACAAAAATCCGAACTATGGTATGATTTCAGAAATCTACGTATTAGAGAATGAAAATAATTAATTCAGGCTCTTCGGATATCATTCCCGAAGGTCATGGTACATTGTCGGTTACTTACTCATATATCTGAAATATTGGGCACTTCGCAAAAATCAGTACACTTTCTTAACTATTACAACTACAAAGGTTGTAATTGTATGAAAGTATACAAAAATATTTTTCTTAAATGTGCTGGAAAGAAAATTGTTCAATGACCTTTTTTTATTGAACTATCCCCAAGTGTTTTGAGATGGATTAATTCCTGAGAAATTAAATATGTTGTTAATTACGAAAGCGTTCGGTTAATTTTCCCCCACCAGCCTGTAAAACATCAATATAAAATGTGTATTCGTGAGCTACGGTGAAAGTGATTTATAAATTATCTAAAGGATGGGAAATGGTTAATTTAGGGGTACGCTACGTGTATCTTGACACGCTGGTCTTCACCACATTCGATCGACGGTTCGAGCCTAGTGAACGAAAATGGGCGACGCGTACACACAATTTTTCGGATTGCCAAACAGGTGACTCTTGATTTAACAGAAAAACAGATAGTACGTCCATCCATGGTCCACTAAACCAGCCCCCTACCTTCCCCCACCCCCTCAAAAGGCTTTCTCTGTTGAATTGTGCAGTTATCTAGAACATGCAAAGACATCATTTATATATCTCTAGAGGAAGCTATTATTAGCGAATGTTCACTAATATAATTGCAGCATGGAATGATTAATGGGCATTGGACATATCGTAACGGATTACTTTAGATTGTTTTGTAATTAAAAGATTCTAATGCCCCTCCCACTCAATCATTCAATAGCATAGTGTTTTTGTTCTGATGCGATATGTTGGCTGTCTAAAGGGATTGTGATCACTCAATTCAAGTCAAAAATTCTCCCAAAATTATGCAGTTTTTCACCATTCTGAGCTCTTTCTAAATGATTTTGGGCCAAAATGGTCAAATGTAAGCCCCCCTCCCCTGACATTCTTGAAAAGCGAACCACCACCTTGGCAAAAGCTGGCTACGGGCATGGCGTTGATCAATTCCAAAAATCTGGTCGAAGGTTGATATGAGGCAGGTGAGGCAAGAAGTGAGGCAAGCGCCTCGCCAACATTTTTTAGTCAAACTGCGAAAATTATTGCGACAAAGTAGGCTGGTATAATATATTTTATGGCTTAAACTTCGCCTATTTTTGGATCCAGCCTACGTCCCCGAATGCACATTAATTTCCAATCATGTCGCAAAAAACAGTAAATAGATAATAGAGGAGACTAAGGTGGTTTATATTCGCATATCTATTGCGCATCTTCAACGAAAGAGGAAGACAACTAATTTGTTTAACTAACCAAGTCACGCCATTCAGCAATATTTCTTGATTTAATGGGTCGAAGAGACTTTGAACATCAGATTATTGTCTTATTAATGGTGATGGTTACTGTTTCACTTTTTTCTAATCATCACGAAATCAGTATTAACGACAAGGCACAAAGAGTGATGGCATTTGTGCATTTTGTGTCGCTCAACATTACTTTTCTCCAAATTGCTAATTACACTCGAAACTTTCCAATAACACTCACCTAGCCAATTATCAACTTTGAATATAAATGCACATTGGTTTCGAGGAAGGCAAAGCAACTACCTCACCCAGTTTTACAGAAAAAGTAATATTCAATTTTTATTGAAACTCTGAGAGCAATGCCAATATACAGTAGTACCAAATCCTCGTTTGTGTTACTTTTGGCTCATCTCTTTTAAATATGCCTCGCCTTTTTCAGACCATTGTTACTCCTCTGTGCAATGTAACCGTTAATTAACAACAATCATCTGGGACTGAATTAACTGGATAAATAAGAATTGATGTGTTTTTAAACTCGAGTTATATTAATAGATACCCTAAAATACTGTCTCTAGTGGTTCTAACTTGGTGTACTAATAGGGTAGAGTACTTTTATAGTTTTACTAGTTTTCTAAATATATTTTGGGCCCAATCTGGGGATCTGGGGGCAGCCCCCCCCCCCCCCTCTCCTTTGGTGAGGCCCAAAAATATTTTGCGATTGATTTTGAGATCCGCCCCTGCCTATAATGGTCTGTACTGTAATACTTACGCTGGTCTGGGAGTAGTTTTAGAACAGACCCTACTGGACATATCTGGAATATCTGAAATAAAACAAATACAAAGGGCAATTAGCAAGGGCAATTACTTGTCTAACAACAAATTAGAAAAGTACAAACTTATTTCTGACTGTGGATGAGAAAGTGAGGGGAGAAACTCTAAAATGTAATATTCCCGAAGCAAGACGCCTAGCTGTAAATGAAAATAAAATATGTCCGTAATAACCTTTTATTAAATATGGATATGGTTTTCCAACGGCACGTTAAATAGTGATACATTGAAACATTGAAATTGAAAGCATTATAGACTATTAAGCTTATAACACTGGGTTTTGCATTGGTCTAAGACATGAACTTTTTACAGCTTATCAGACAATTTTGCCATTTAAGCTTACGTTGTATTGTTCTCCCATGGGTTTTTATCTCATGATTCTCCATTTTGGCCTTCATTGAATTTTGATTATTTTGGATTTTTGAGAAAACACATATACTTGTATGTAGATATTTTTAAATGTTACTATACATTTGGCCGTCATATGACTCGATAAGTTAGACCTTCTGATTCGGGAGTTACTTGGACATCTTGTTAAAGCTGTAATCGATTGGAGCACCAATATGATGTAAACAAATTAAAATTAAAAGAAACTTGGAAATACTTACGGTATTCAGAGCCAAAATAAAAACAAGAGTTCTGGTCATGATGCTAATATAAACAGCACATCGTATCAGCCATTTGTCCCATACCAGTCTTCAATCACTATAAACCCTATTTCGCAAAAGTTATATAATTCTATAAACTTAATCCGTATTGCGCTCTGCATCCATTGAATTGAATTCCAAATCGAGTCCCAAGTTTATAAATTTTGTACATTTCCATTACTTTTTGTCTTGAGGTGTATGATGGATGTTACATTAATGATGCTGCAATGATCGAAAAGAAAGATGCCAGTCATTATAGTATTTTTAATTTCATCCTTGGTTACGTCAATTTCATGAATGATGGGACGTTAGTCCAATGTTCAGTAATAGCAAGTGTGTTTCCGTCAGTTCAATCGTTTCTATGATGGATCTTCGCATTGACAACGTTTCTGTTTCTACATGTACATTAACAATAGGATTTATTTATATCATTATCTTGTATCGTTTTATAGTATTGTACATTAGTCCAGATGACATTAGTCCAAACCGCAAAGTAAATAGCACGAGAAGCAGTGTGTATTCGATTCGATCGCTCACCGCGAGACTGACACTGTTGCTAATTAATTGTATGCCTGCTAAAAATAAGTCCCAATCAAACTTCCAAAACACGGTTCTTATATCGAAAAGAACGGGAAACAATGGACATGAATTGTACTGTATAATAATAAGATGCATTATTTCACGAGAAAAACGTATGCTACACACTTGTACATAATTATGGAGTATAAAAGGAGTATCCAAATGTTACTTTGGATACACTGATTTCAGTTGCTTTCTAACTTAAAGTTTCGTTTAAAAACATAAAGAAAACTACCAAGATGTCTAATATCCAAAATCAGCCCAAAACATTTAGAAAATGGAAAGGTAGAGGTATAGAAAATAAACATATTGGAGTAAACAGTATTAAGTCTATAGCTCGTTGCTTGAACTGGTATGTTAAGCGTATCTTTGTTAAGAATTACGGAATTCGGTGACATGAAGAGAAAGACGCATCCTCCACCAATTTGAGCAACAGTGTATTCTCCGGCTATTAACTTGATTGAAACGATTCTGGGGTTAGGGGAATGACATAAATCACCCTAGATAACAAAAGCACATACAAACAAAGAATATATTCACAGACAGCCATAAGCTGATGTGTGTTCATGAAAATACAATTCTAGAAACTCTTTGTTGCGAAGATAAGCTTGTTTTTATGTTGAAGAATTTAGAGATAAGAACCTTTGAAAAGAAGTGATAAGAATCGATTTTAGAGAAACAAAGATGTCAGTAAATCCAGAAATATACTCTGACCTTTACGGAATGATTAGCGTATTTGTATTATCCTCTCAGATGTGTCTCAGAATCTATATAAAGTAAACCATAAACGTATAAGTATGATCACGGATGTTACGCTCTAGTGGTGCTTGACGTGGTTCAACAAGCAAACCCAATTCAAATGTTTAATCAAGGCCAGGAAAAGAAAGCTTTGTTCCGAGAAGAGAAGACACGATGTGTTAAAAAATAAATGCCTGGTATTTTCTTTTTAGTTGCCACCAATGACCTCGTATTGAGCGTTCCTATGACAATTCCCTAACCTGAAGGTCGTTGACGTAAAACTATTATAAACATTTACGTAAGTAAGGTAAACGTTAAGAATTCGTAAGTCCATTGTTCTCTTACTATCACATCAAAATTCCCATGGTTTCAACCATTGATTTAGAATTTTTGATCTTTACGAAGTTCCTGTTAATGACCCCCCTCCCAAATCCAAATAAACTGACTTTGAGCACCTTCCTCTTTGAGATCAAATACTTGGTTTTGTGATGAAGGGAAATACAGGGGCGTGAAATGAGACTTGAATCCAACACAAGTCTCCGACATTACTAAAAGCGCCATCCATCTTGTTTACTTTCAATATCCTGGACCGTCCCTCCTTATTTACTTACACATCACTGAGTGGGGCATTGAAGCACGACTAATCTATCTGGTTCAAAAAGAAATACATTAGCTGACTGGTGATTTTAAAACTTTAAAAATTGACATGAGCTGGACTAAATATTGTCTTGTTGCTAATGGGTTGGGGAAGGCACGTAATACACTTAGACCCACATAGACTACATTAGCAGACGTAACATTTTATGTCAGCCAGAGTGCGCAAACGGTATTGTTAACACAAAACCATGCATAAATTCCAATAAAAGTCGGACCAGAATAGTAGATGCATTATAAAGATCATCAATCACTGTCTTGCCACTGATAAATAAGATATGTGATGGCTTATTCAAGCATGTAGACTATTGACGCAAGTAAATATTATTTGTGTATCAAATCTCTAGCTACTACTTATTAATTGATATGAATATAATTAACGAACACATTTCTTATTGTAAGTAATTTTTCTCAATTACGAATACATCCATCAAAGCTACTAATCCATCATTCAGAGAGCCCTGAGATAGTGAACTGTGCCGTTTTATCGTCTACTGGTGTTAATTAATAGTTTAGGTTAGAAAGATCACCAACATGACCAAATGACGATCAAATATGTATGCCTGGCTTCAAAAAAAGAATCTAGCCTACGTTTTCTAACCTCGTGTTTCATGACACATTCTTGTGACAATCTAAATAAATTGAGGGAAAAATTAGTTGCTGGCCACCAGGTTTTCAATTTTAGGCCTACTATAGTTGGGTCGCGCTGGAATATGTCGCTATAGGATAGAACAAGTTGACATGATTCATATTGTTGTTTTCCAATTTTCTCACTAATTTAGCTGAGTTTATATCAGCTTCATCTTGATATCCTATTTTGCCTTGCCTAATCAGTACTCATCTCATATTATTTCGTGAATTTAAAATTCCCGCCTGAGCATTTGATTACCGAATTACTTCCATAAACGCCGTATAAAGAAATAGTTCGTAAATATTTTAAGCAAGTTTGGGTTAAAATTGACAGTTTGGAAATGTAAATTTAGAAATAAATTCTATTTTAGAAAATGATAAATGCATATTTTTGCTTCAAAATTAGTTTACCAGAAAATCTGCCCCGCGGATTAATATTTCGTCAAGACGACACTGAAACAATATGGCGGACACCGGTGATGGGTGAATTTTCAAATTCTGTGCAATGAAATTGCAGTATTCAATAGTTTGAAACGTATTTTGTTCTATTTGGACCATATTTTGTATGATAATGCCTTTCTTCATTCTCGTGCTGAGTATTGTAGTTGTCAACAGACTTAATCATTAAGAAAATGGACCGAAAGAGTAAAAAATATTTGGACCTCTCATTTGGGGCAAAACAACAGTCAAATCAAAGTGCTTTGAGGAATGGTGTGAGGCCTCATGGTGGTGTCAAAGGTATTTTTGTGTATATATAATCAATTATATGTAAATCGTGAAATATGTTCAGTTGTTGGAGATCGGAATAAATGAACATATGATATGAATGCAGTATAGTATTTAGCAAAAGTCGATGATTGGGTTGTGTATCATTTAAACCTAGCCTAGGCTAAAGTTACTCCCGTCGAGAGCTACTTAGATTTTGAAAGTATAGCTATACTTTCAAAATCTAACATGGTAGCTCTCGACGTGAGTAAGGCTAAAGCAATTAAAGGACAACATTGCAATTTTAGTGGAAAATACATTATTGTTTAATTTGCAAAATGTTTGTTTATTTTAAATAAATGAGTTTTATATGCAGTAAACCAATGTCCTCTTGTAATTTAGGGAGTTGGAGACCCCCTTTCAGCAACATGTACATATCTTGTTTTGAAAACAACATGTCAGAAAGGCATCAAAATACATGTACAAGAGTTCACACATTCATTCTATATAGTCAAACCACAAGCAATCCAATTTATACATACATATGCATGTAAAATAGGAATGTATTTTCCATGAAATATTGCATTGTTGGTTGAAGTTGAAGGGCATTTACAAGTCTGATTGTGATTGAACAGATACTGATGGTTGTTTCCAATCTGCAACAGCCAAGTATTTATATAACATGAAAAATACTTCTCCTGAGCAAATTTCTCCCCTAACTTCCTCTTTTATGAACCTGCATCTCTTATGTTTTCTTTGAGTGAGTCATAAAATTTTGCATCGTAATATGTAATTTTTAAATCCATAATCATTTTTGTTTTACTAAACTTAAGTTATAAAGACATTCACCCTTGATGCAGAAGGTAAGTGACCTGCCTGCTTGACCAGTGAATATTTGGCATTATGAGCTTACAGCAAATGTAGTTTTAGGTCTAAGCATGGACTTCAAGAACTCTATGGTCTTAGTTGGTACCTGGTTCTTGCATCCTCTTTGCATGGAGTTTTTCTAGAAAGCTCATGTTATGTGTGTGTGTAGCATTGTATTAGTTGTTCAAAGTATTAAATACATTTCCTGTTTGTATGTATTACTACCAATATTCTATATTTAGTGATTCAGCAAGTATTTCTGCTACTTCAGAGTTAGTTTGCTATTAGGTAAACTGAAGAGAATGAATAGTCTGGCTTGGTCTATCTGATTCCTTTATATATTTAATGACACTCTAAAGTTAAATCATGTCTAAAAGAAAAACACTTCTTAAGAAGCTCTTCTCTACTTTATAAAGGCATTGTTACCACATACAGGCACAAAATCATATTGTAGAGTATAAAGTATTCTTATTGAGTAATCTGTATTATTGTTATTATTAGTCCTAAACATGTTCTTTGTATTTGCTTGTTTATTCCTAAATACATTGAGCAGTTTTTATTCCATCACAGCAATTTCAGAGTTTTATTTCATTAGTATAGTGTGGCATCTTCATCATTATCTTGAATCTGCTATCATTCTTATTCTTTGGGTAAACGAATTAATCGACACTTTAATTGTGCACTTATCTTGAAGTAGACTTTGTTATCTCAATCAACTTCAAATTGTGCTTGTAAACATAAAATATGACATTGAATTTAAATCAATCATTTGTTTTGAAATTATAATGATCTGTTTTGATTTCGCTTGCAGTACTAATTTATAGTGTCAGAATGTTATATTTACCATGCATATTAATTTAAGTTCATATTGAATGTAGTGCCAATCCAGTTTTTCATGATTATTGATTTTCTGCTACCTTCTACTTTGTAAGGGCTGCTGCTAAGATTACTTGAATAGTCTGTTGTAGTCTCTAGTTATCTGAAAGCTTGTGTTAAATGATTGATAGTTGAAAGTATCAATATATAATTATTAGATAATAAAGGGTTCGATTAATGTTTCATGAAATTCAGGTGGATTTCTTTAAAAAGTAAAGTAATTGTAATTGCTCGTTTTTCTAAGTTTAAGTCATTGTAACATTAAATATCACATCATAAGGCTATATCATTGCCACATTCCTCACTGCCTAATTTGTCCAAAAAACTTTGCAAATTATGTATTGATGCCCTTATCTATAGTTTGATTCCGATTCTTTAAAGGAAAGCTTAATCTATAGTAAATACCATAGCCTCTTGGCTCCTCCTTTTTTCATTTACAGTACAGTTAAACCTATAAAATGGAGCACCTCCTAAGTGGAACCTCTAAAGAAGAAAACTTCAAAGTCCATTTCCTCATTAAGTTCATGAGAACACCAAGAAGTGGTGATATATTGTTATGGTGTCCTTTTTTGTGGCGGCGGCTGGCGATCGGCAGGCAGCGGGCGGCAATTGGTGTCTGTAACAAATTCTTAAAACTTCCAATAACTTAACAAATACTGTTTAGACTAACTTCATTTTTTTCCAAATCATCTACAGGTTTTTAGAAGTTCAAATCTGACTTTAGATTTAAGATTTGACCTTCAATGACCTTTTCAAGGTCAAAAAAGGGTCAAAAAGGTTGTTTTTCAATCTGCTTCAAATTGACTAAATTTTTTTCAAAATCATCTACAAGTTATCAGAAGTTCAAATCTGCCTTTAGATTTAAGATTTAACCTTTAATGACCTTCTCAAGGTCAAAGAAAAGTCAAAAAGGTCTTTTTTCAACTTTCTTCATATTGACCAATTTTTTTCAAAATCATCTACAGAGTTCTCAGAAATTCAAATCTAAATTAACATTGAACTAATAATATTGTGAGCAACTAGGTGGTGACATTTTGTCATGTTAATGCCTTGTGATTTAATTGCAAATGCTGTTCCACTTAGCCAAGTAAGATTTATGAACAATGTCAAATATGAATGATATCAAATATGAACAATGTCAAAGATGAATGATATCAAATATGAACGATATCAAAGATGAAAATATGTCAGATATGAACAATAATTCCAGGTCAGCCTGCTCATCCTCTGAACCTGTATTCCTTCTCCAAAGAAGAGAGCTATCAACAAGAAATGAGGGAAAGCATTGACCAACTCTTTGAAGAGGAATACTTAGCACAATGTGGGTCACCAAAGTATGCAGTACGCATGAGCAATGAAGAAGTAGTCCACTCTGGGGAGTCAGCCCTATTTTCTAACAAGCTTCTGGCTCCAAGTCGGGTAAGTTATCATTTATTGTGAAGAAAATGGCACAAGTGTGGTACTAAGCAATTGTGATAGCATAAATTGCGTAAACCTTGCAGAGAGAACCAAGCACACACCAGCCTTCTGGAATTTATGAACTTTAGTCTGAATTTGGAATTGATATTTATATTATTGTGATACTAGATTACTTACAAGGTAGCTATTTTGGGTTTTAAGTATAGCTAGCCATCCCAAAATCTTGTCATTGTGACACTTGTGGTTAAATCATCAATGAGATTAATTCAAAATCTATCAATTATTTTCAGCTGGAACAAAGAGGCACATCCATGACCCTTCATTCCCCAAAGCGACCTAAGCACAAATATGACCCTCCTGTTAAGAGTAGAACACAACAACAGCGTTTCTATAGGCCCAACAGTACACATCAGTTTCTCACTAAGACTGAACTCAAGAACTCCACTGCTGGTGAGGTGGATGTTAAACTAGGAAAACCAACCAGAACAACGTAAGTGGCATTAGGCATATGAGGTGTTGATGTATGACTCCTGGTTCAAAAGCTCCTTTTTTCATAATGGTCACCATTTTTGTCTCTCAAAATTCATTTCATTCATTGGCCCATTTTAGGGGTCCTGCATTGTAAAAAGCCATGTCACTGTAAAGAGTAGTTGTATGAAATACTGTATAAGTGGTATTTAATCCGAGTGGTTAATTTTCCTAATGGTCAAATTTCATCATTTTCCTAATTTTAATTTTCCTAATGACAAGAAACCTCCCATTGGATAACATTATAAAGACAATATTTCCGACATTTAATTTTCCGAACCTGGCAAAAATTAGGAAATAGGAAAATTAAATGATTAGGCAAAATTACCACTTATACAGTAATCAGTGAAAAAATTCATCCATTTTTTTCCTGCCATTTTAGCCATCATTCACTTTTGAGCAACACCATGTGAGCCCAGTACCCACGGTATTATTTGTTCCATGATTTCTTCTCACCATAAGTACAACATTTCTTCAATTAAAATAATGTTTTCCTCCGAATGAGGTCCCTGGGATAATAGAATTATCTATCCAGCTCTTTTGAAAAACCATTGATAAGGACGCCTCCTCAACATATTTTTCAAAATGTTGGATATTTCTAAAATGAGAATATAGTCAGTGTCAGAGATATGACTCAGTCTTAAATCATTCACCATAGCATACCTGGTCCTTTAATGCTCAATAGGTAGTTTTGAGCTATTTATGAAATATTTGAAAAGATAAAACCCCCACACTTGACTAATGCATGTGTGTTGTAATGTACCGTATGTCATTTCGTATGTCTTATTTAATATATCTGTTTCTACTGTAGATTACTGAGAGCTAGGCAGAGGAGGAACTCTGCCCCAGGGACAACACATGTAGTTATATTTCTCATTCAATATATCTGTTTATTGTAGATTACTGAGAGCCAGGCAGAGGAGGAACTCTGCCCCAGGGACAACACATGTAGTTATATATCTTATTCAATATATCTGTTTATTGTAGATTACTGAGAGCCAGGCAGAGGAGGAACTCTGCCCCAGGGACAACACACAATGAGAGAAGGAAAATGAGAGAACGTAAGACTTAGCTTATTAAAAGATTATGCTGCTTAACATTGTTTATGGTAACATTTAATGGAAAGAAATTAAAATGAATATTGCCTTTGAATGAAAAAATCATCAATTTTTGTCAGAGTTATGATGAATAGCATAATAGAATCATTGTGAAAACTTTAATAAAAGTTCATGGACACATCTTTTAAAACTCTTTAAAATATGCTAGCGACTGTTCTTTTTACAAAAATGCCTGTGTAGATTTTCTCGACATTGAACAAAGTATTTTACTTTGATCAAATATTGATTGTACTGAAAAAAAGTAGTTCTGCAAACAAAAATTGTATCGTGGCAATAGGCATATTTGCCTTCAGATCTTTTGACTTTTTGTCAACTGTTAAATTGAAGTTGTTTCTATTGTCAATATAAAGACTTTAAAAATTGTTCAATGTACTTTAAAGCACAATGTTTAGTGTACAAAATGATCAGGTTTGAAATCATGAAGATAAAAAGGAATTTGTGGTTTGATCGACCTTTTTCGTAAAAAATTCTGAGAGAATGGTTTTAAGATTTAGGAAACCCTATCAGTTTCATCAGATGTACTATATGGAGTAGAAGTGGGTAGGACTAAAAGATATATATCAATGCATGAAATATGAATTAAATAAATGAAACTATCAATTTTGTCATTGGCTAAATAATAGTGGTTACCTTTTTGAGATATAAAATGGATTGAAATAAAGATGGCGTCTATGTGCTAACACCTATACAAACATTATTACTGTTCTGAAACTTTTTAGAATTAGAACCCTTTTAGAAATAAGAGCACCTCATCCCTTATAACATTAGCCATAGGCTGGGAGATTCGCATTTCTTGGTCATTATGAAGACATATTTAGCAAGCCAGCAACTCTTCAATAGGCTGCTTTTTTTTAAATGAAAAATATATCTGACCAAATATTGTTAAAGTTTTAAGATGCACAAATGTTCAAATTCATTAAAATTAGACAAGTGGATATCCCTATTTCAGTTTCTTAATGGATTAATAAAAATCAAAGGATTATCTTGAAATGAAGTAAGAACTGTTGTTTTTAGGCATAAACAAGAATGACATTAAATGATGAGTGCAAAATTGTGAAAATTATCCCTTCTAGTCCCTTAAAAATAATAAGTAGTTTTCCAGTACTCATTGTTTCTCTATTACTAATATTTTGAGTATTATCTGTTTCAGAAATTGAACAGCAGTTTCAAAGGCCAGAGTCCGCAAGGAGCACTTCCAGCAGGTACCTCTCACCCTTCATTATATTATAATATTCACATAGTTCTTTGTCATTTCTATCTGAACTGTCAAGTTCTTTGTTTCTCCAGTTTGAGCAGTTGACCCATTTGTACATTTGCAAGTGTCAAGTTCTTTGTTTCTCCATTCTGAGCAGTTGAACCATTTGTACATTTGCAAGTGTCAAGTTCTTTGTTTCTCCATTCTGAGCAGTTGAACCATTTGTATATTTGCAAGTGTCAAGTTCTTTGTTTCACCATTCTGAGCAGTTGACCCATTTGTACAATTGCAAGTGTCAAGTTCTTTGTTACATCCCAACTTGATGATTACATTTTTATCATTTTAGTTTGAACAGCCATGTGCCAGTAGAGAAGGGAGAATCTGTTCATGCCTTCCTGACAGGGGCCCGTTACAACAGAGCTCAATACCTTGACTCTAGAAGTCTCTTTGAGTATGGAATATACCTGTCGAGGACCAACCCTGGAGAAGTCTACATCAGCGCTGTGCCCCCTAAAGGTCAAGGTCACCATGATGATGATCAGACACCTAGGGCTCCACCTGGTATATGTTTTGAATATATCAGTCATATTATAATTTTGCAATGCTAAATTGTTAGACTTGAATGGGTTTGAATAAATATTTAAAGAGCAATGTATTAATTCAATGATTATTCAATTCAGTTATACAAATCAATCATCACATTTGAAGAAGTAACAAGATTCATTAATATCTTTTAATACTTTTGATACATTAATGTTTTCCTAATACTGTGTTCAACTATTCATCCCGATTTTGCATGTCATTTTTCTTCATTTCCCCATTATTGGTGGGAAGAAAGAAGTAAAACATAATCATAATTTTCTGTTCATACCAATTTACTCATTCTACCTTAATTTTTCAGATTCCCCAAATTCAAGTTGTAGCTCTAGTGAAGATGAGTATTCACGGCCAATCAGACAGTCCCAATCACTTAACTCCGGTCCTGGATCATTCCCAAGACGAACACCAAGACCAAACACAGCAAAGGGGACAACCAGGACACGTCATGCCTGGGGGGAGGAGGACGAATGTGTGGCTTGTAAATCAGGGTCAGATAATCTCCAGGACCCCCGGTTATTGAACCACATAATGAGCAGTCCTGATATGTTGAATATTCAAGGTAAGATTGCCGTTTGGTTTTATGAGAATTGCATTATGGGAAAATAATACATATAATGAGTAGTTCCAGTTTATTAAAGTGTTTCAATTTGATTTGTGATATCTTTTTATTGAAATGGCATAAAATTTCTATCTCATCAGTCAGTCACTGTCCGAAAATATGAATCCCAATGTTAAATCTAACATTAGTACATGTAGTATATCTTCCATGTCTTTTCATTATACATGTAGTTGAATTGTAGAAGTTTAGTTGTTCATAAATTAATAGGGGTGAGACGACAACCCGATGAGTCAAGGACTCGCGGGTTTGGGGCTTCGAGTCGAGTCGAATCGAGTCGAAGTTGATGAATCGAATCATTTTCGAGTTGAGAAAAAAATTCGAAAAAATAAAAAAATTCAGAAAAATACTGTCAGTATGCATGTTTTTACTCGATATTGCATTGAATATATAAGTTTCAATGACTTGGATATGCTTGTATTAAATTATTATATTGTATGTACACATAAATGAAAGAATATATGTAATAAAATCAGAATAAACTTACGACGAATTGTGTTTGTTTATATTTCCGGCTTTCCACCATTGACGCATTAAAAATACGAACGGTCAAAAGCGATGTTGTTCGCACTTTCGCGACTCGAAACGGATTCGAAACTCGAATCGTCATTTTCTGACTCGAATCGGATTCGACTCGACTCGGATTTTTTCGACTCGTCTCACCCCTATAAATTAACCTCTTTTGCTTTTTAGATTGCTCTTTGTTGAAATTGTACAGTACTGAACTTGAAATCTATTCCTCTAGAAATATCTTGGCTCAATTATTCAATTGTGATAAATGTGAAATTGTTGTTTTATTTTAATATTTCAGGAGGCTGAATAGTATAGAGGTAGATCATATAATTGTCTGCATGCTGTTAGTAGTTAATTTAAATGCACTATGGAATTACTTTAGACAGTTAATTTAAAGGCACTATGAAATGATTTAGACAGTGCATTTAAAGGCACTATGCATATATTTGACAAAAGATTAAAATGAATTCTGAAGAAATGTTTTCATGGTGCCTTTAGGTAATACCTATACAGAATTGAATTGAACAAATGAATGATTGAAATGCACACAATTTGCATGGACTATAATAAATTATTCATTTTTGCATATATGGACCATAAATTATACTTGTCTGTATATTTTTTTTTACCAAAGGAAGAATCAATTCAGTGAGAAATACCATGGATAATCTACCATTAACTTCAATTTGCCCCACCAATTTATATTTGTCTCCCCTGTTCTTGTCGATTGCTGGTCCTACCAGTCTCTTTATATTATATATGATTCTACCTTTGGGTCTTAATTTGACATAATATTATCTAGCTTTGCATGCATCTTTTCTGAGATATTATAAATTCACCTGGAACAATTTATGTCACAACCAAGAAGAGGTGACTTATTGTTACAGACACTATTTTTGTGGCTGGCATTTGCCATTTGCAACAAATGTTTACACCTTTGCACTTGCTCTCAGGGGGTGACATTTTGTCATGTTAATGTAATGCCTTGTTGCGACTATTATGATTGTCTTCTACATGTAGCATGATTGTCACATATCTTTTTGGGACAATAGGACTATGTATTGTTCAGCTATTTTGAAAAAAACATTGGCTTAATAAGGACACTTCTTTCTCATGTGCAAAAGACTTTAAAAAGTCAAATATTGACATACATTTACTCAATTTTCTTGTAATAAAGCCCTCTCATGATATGCCCCATGGGCCATTCATTGGAATTATTTCTCATGGAGATTAACAATACTAAAAATACGAATATTTAGGCTTTGCTTTAATTCCAGAGCCGGGCTTGATTACGAGAAAATCTAGTCGTTTTCCGCACAAAAATTATATGCATGTTGCTACCATCTCACCTTCCCCCTCTCTGCTTAATTTTTTGTTCTAACTTTTATACACAGATTGAATCACATATACGTAGTATGTGCTACTTTTATGACATTACATATGTTTTCATTATAGAACCCATTGAATCCAAAACATAGAATATGTAGATACATACAGTAAACCCTGTATATCTGAACACCTCTCTATTCTGAACACTTCTCAATTCGAACACTGTCAGGTCCCATTTATTAATCTTCCATGATAAAAAAAACTCAAAATGTGAACCTCTGGCAATTTTGGCTGATTCCAGTGGTCTTTGGATTAGACAGGTTCTACTGTATTTCATCCCTAACATACACTTTATCTTTGGATATGTTCTGTTTCCATGTGATATACCTCTACCTCTCATGTCACCATATCCTCTCTGAGCAAAGTCTCTATGGGGAAAATGCTGATTGGTATATATCCTATTCTGGTCATAGTTGTTACAAGTATCATCACGATTGTTGGACCCTCTACTATCACTAAAGTATCCTCTGTCATTGAAACCTCTTCGGCTACTGAAACCTCCTCTGTTACTGAAGCCTCCTCTGTTACTGTAGCCTCCTCTATTATTGTAGCCTCCTCTGTTACTGAAGCCTCCTCTATCACTGAAGCCTCCTCTATCACTGAAGCCTCCTCTATCATTGAAGCCTCCTCTGTGTCTGTAGCCTCCTCTGTTACTGTAGCCATTGAGATCTGTATCAAAGTATCCTGGTCCATGTTCTGGATGATTGTAACCTTGGTTCTGGGAGATGTAATTTGTCATAACATCCTTCTGAAATTCCTTTTGGATTTCCTCCTTCACTAATTCTTTCAACAAAGTACGATCGGATGTTATACTAGTAGTCGATGAGTCAGCAGTGGTACAGTTTGAAGTTTGTAGAGTCTTCTTTACTTGATCTTGATAATATCCCTAATTGATGTATCTGTGGTAGTAGTGGACTGTCTATCATGCTTCTCCTCCATTATGAATGCCTCTTCACGTAGAGTTGTGAATGATATTGCAGGTTGTTGTTTAAGTTTATCATACAGCATTAGACGCATTACTTCTGATGAAACTCCATTGGCGAACTGAGTTTTGATAAGTCTATCTGTGTTGTCAATACACAAAAACTCGTCGTGGGAGTTCTGCAGCAGTTCTAGCTGTGTCATTAGTCTTTGACTGTAGGCTTTTATGTTCTCATCCTTGTTCTGCTTTGTGTTGAGGAATAGTTGAAGAGCAGAATGTTTAGTCTGTCTACTGCCATAAACTCTTTGAAGGGTGGTGAATATCTCATCAGGCTTTGCTATTTCACCAAGAAGCTTAGCTTCTTTCCGAGGCATTCCCTCTAAGTGTGAGAGTAGGAAATCATACTGATCTTCTTCAGGAATCTTCTTTAAGGCTCGTTTACAGTCATCTACCCAGTCATATATATTTTGTTCTTTTCCAATGAATTTGTTGATCTTTGGCTCTTTGTAGTATTGTTTCACAGGTGCAACTGGTTTGGTTGTTGGAGTGGATGTATTAAAATTTCCAACTGTTGGAAGGACATCATTGTTTTTTCTGACTCGTGATATGTCTAAGAGGGTGGCATTCGCAGATATTCCTGTTGGTTGCTTAAGTTTATCATTTGTATTTCCATATATTGTATCTCGATCCCTATTCAATAAGTTGACATAGTGTTGTTTCCTTTGTGTATGTTCTTGTTCTTTCTCTTTGATAAGGGGCTCCAGCTCGGATTTTCTGGTTTCATATTCCGCATACACGTCATCAATGGAGGCCAACAACTTCTGGTTTTCACGTTCGATATCGCCAAGACTTTCCCTGAGACGTTTGTTTTCTTTTTCCTTTAAGTGACGCTTGGTTACACCATTATTGATGTCCTCATCAGTAAATCTCAATGAGTTATTTACATGTAGTACTTCAGACATTTTATCTATAAGTTCCTCAGCTGTCCTAGACTGTTGTTCCAACTCTTCATGAGACATGTAGTGCGCCATCTTGTGTTAATACTGAGTGGATATCCAACTCAACACTATGTAAAAAATCTTATTGTCAAATACCCTTGTGATCTAATAAAGATGTGCGTTATGGTATACCACCGTGTAATCTTATATACTAGTATAACACTAGCATGTAACAAATATGTGATAATACAATGTGCGTTTTAGCACACTACCATGATATAAGATTGTGCGTTATAGCACCACGCCGTGTACGAATATGTGACACCTTAATAACGTGCGTTGTTGCACAGCACTATGTAGTAATATATACACCTTTATGGTACCCTTATGATGTGCGTTTTTGCACAACACCGTGTGATAATATGTACACTAACAAACACTTATAGACTACCCTAATAACGTAAGTTTTTGCACAACACCGTGTTGTAATATGTACACTTATAGAATACCCTTATAATGTGCGTTTTTGCACAACACCATGTGGTAATTTGTACCCGTATATGTTATTGTGAGCTGGGCGAATGGGGGGCACGTGGGTAACGGCAATAAAAACTACACACACAAGTTCAGTCATATGATATCTTTATTCTTTACAGTCTTAATAGTTGTAACATCAGGTATCACAGGATGTAAACAGGCAACAAGAAGAACAAGTAGTAGAAGTCTGCAATTATTCAAAATGATATGCATTAAAAATAGGAACCAATATTTCGTAATGTCGAGACCATAAAATACAAATATTATTATATGAATACTATTACATTTCATATGCGATTCCCTTAGACTAAACCAAACACACAGTTTCATGTACTTTACACAAATAATACAATAATATATTTTAAGAGATATGCATACCCTAATGACTAGTCTAATGGAGACTAACTGCAACCTCAATGTAAGAAAACATCCAATCTCCAGTACTAAAATTAGAAGTAACAAAAGTGCAGCAATGTACCATGTTGTCAAATGAACAAACATGAAAGAATTAATAATATTCACCAATACAACATAATAATTAGAACCATTAAAGTGTGACATAAGATTACGTGTATTCGAGCTCTGGTGAAAATATAAAATCATTTTACAAAATGGCTGCACCTTAAAATACAAAATGGCTGACACAAAAAATAATATAAACTTACAAATAGTCCTTAGGACTTTGAAGTATAGTGAGACCCTGGCTGAGTGAAGTGTACATGAGTACTTAACCGTGTGTCTGCAATTAACAGGACAGTAAAAGTAAGTTGTAAAAGTAAGCCATATAAGCATTACAAAATTGGGCGTGACCCGTATTCTAATTTACAAAACTGGTTTACAAAAGTTGTAGTCTAGGGATATGAAATATTACCTTACCAGAAAATATGATATAAAAAGAAAATGACATTCTTCTATAATGATAGTATAGGATAAACTGGTAGAAAGTACAACTTGACTGAATAAATTGGGAAAAATACAAAATTGTATTTACCTATACACAGAGGTGCTTCCAGTTGAAGCTCAGCCAGTGGACTGAGGTCAGTTTGAAAAATAGAAATCACTGCTAATGCAGGGTTATAAAACCAGCCACAAACTTACAAAATATAAGAATCAAAAATAAGGTTTACATGTAATTGTCCTATACTGAATAGAAAATCTAACCCAGTAAGTGTGGTTCTAAAAATAGCATGGTTCACTTAAATGCATACATATGTGTAAAAGTACAGGTTGTCTCATGAACCATGTAACTATCCTTGTCCATACAGGGTGTTACACCTAACCTGTCACATCCACGCCCACATCGTGGTAATGCGTCCCGCATTAAAGAATACAATTGAAACTCTGACTGATATAACATGACTGACTGTTACTTACAAAATACAATATACAATCATCTGCACACTAATAGTAGCAGGTATAGAAATACAAAATACAATGCTTTACATAATGATACATGTAGCTCATACGAAATATAAAATCCGCTTTACCTCATAAATATGAAATTTAAACACTGCAAGGCAAGTGTAGTTGTTACTTGTAAATATAAGGTATGGAATTATACCTCCCCTACAACCACGACCATAAAATAATTTAAAGGAAGAACCACAGACGCGGCGTGTATTAAATTGTTGGTCATAAGTATGACATAAGCAAATGTACATAACGAAATAGCATTACTTATAGTACTCAGCAGAACAAATTGTTATTCATAATAACAATATAACAGAATACTTGAACCGTTTAGCTTTTGTTCGCCAACCTTTGCGAACGTCTCGGAACAAACTCCCTAACTTCTTCAATAGTATCCATCTTCCGCAAGTACTCTGGTAACTTTTTGATCTCTCTTCTATGCACAGTTTTCAGCAGACCACTCTCTGATTGAAGAACAAATGTTTTGGAATCCTTAATGTCTTTCACAATATGAACCTCATCACCATACCCATCTTGGATCTTATTTCTTCCTTGAGGATGCTGTTTCACAATGACTTTATCATTGCAGTGGATTTCATCACTTTCATATGCATGTGTATCATGGAGCTTTTGTCTCCTGTCTGCTTCTTTGTGTATCTTTTGTGACGCCAATCTGTAAGACTGTTTCAAGTGGTCCATGTGTTTATTAATCCAACTACTGGTTCCGCCTGTATCACCTTCACCTTCATCTTCATCAATGCCCTCAGTTCCAGAGATAATATCCAATGGTAGCTTTGGGTTACGTCCAAACATTAAAAAGAAAGGACTGTATCCAGTAGATGAATGTGGCGTGCAGTTGTACCTTGCGACTACGGCATCTATATATTCTGGCCACTTGAGTTTCTGTTCAGCTGACAAAGTTTTCAAAAGATTATGTAACGTCCTGTTAAATCTTTCTGCTTGGCCATTGCCTTCAGGGTGATAAGGTGTTGTTCGGGATTTGTCAATAGAGTATATTTTGCAGAGTTCACTGACAATTTTACTTTCAAAATTCCTGCCCTGGTCAGAGTGGATGCGAGATGGTATCCCATAATGGTTAAACCAGTTTTTAACAAGGGCTTTTGCAGTTGTTACAGCTTTTTGGTCTCTTGTAGGTATCGCCAATGTGTACTTTGTAAAAACATCAGTACAGATCAATACATTCTCCATGCCATTCGATGCCTTGTCCAATAGAGTGTAGTCGGTACATAGTAATTCATTGGGTTGTTTTGCCATAAGTCTACCCATTGATGTGTAAATGTTCTTGTATGGCACCTTCCCATGAACACAGCGATCACATGACCTGATCCATTCTTTGATGTCATTTTGTATGTTTGGCCAAAAGTATTTATTTTCAATCAATCTAAATGTTCTTTCGCAACCTTGATGTCCACTATTTTCATGTGTTTCTCTCAGGACTTTCTCTCGTATACATTTTGGCGTTACAACTTGGGTTATAGGAGACTGATTACTGTTTTTTATGGTTCTTATCAGTATTCCTTTTTTCAAGCTTAGTCGACTGAAATGTTTTAGTAAGCTTTTCTGGTCTTTTGAAAGCTGATTTTTCATAGCTGAACTTGGCATCTTTTTCTTCCTCACAAGTTTTTTGATAACTTTGATTTCTTCATCTTGATCTTGTAGTTCACCAAAACCAGATTCAGTTATTGTAGGGAATGGCGTAAAACTACCCGTGGTTGAAACATCTTCCTCAGCACTATGTTTGCCAGAAATAGATTCACCACTGTCAACTACAGTTAAGACTGGACATGGTGTTTGTGCAGTACATACATCAACAACTGGATCCACCAGATTTGGGATAAAGTCAGCTTCTTTAACTTCGGATGGAATAAATGTAGTATCTGTGCATCTTTCTATTGTGACTTGCATTGCACTTGTTATGAAATCTTCATCCCTATCCTCTTCTGTAGGGTTGTTTCTCAGTCTCGACAATGCATCTGCTGACTTATTCATGACACCAGCCTTGTATTTCAATTCAAAATTGAATGCAGCCAATTCTG